GGCCAGGTCGACAGTGAGTTGGAAGTGGCCAAGGAAATCCGCACCCAGGATCGGATAGCTGACGTCAGCAACGACGAAGACCCATTTGAAAGTGCGTCGGAGACCTAAGTCTAAATCTAGCAGCTGCTGACCGTACGTGGCGATGCTGCTCTGATTCGCTGCACGGAGGCGAGGGCTATTGCGATGAACACGACGAGACAGAGTTACGAATGACGGAGGAAGAACACTGACGGCGGCGCCGGTGTCGACAAGGAACTCGACGGACTGGGAGCGATCCTTGACGAATAGTAGGCGACCGGTAGCGGTATTCGAGGGGCCAACCACACTAGCGGTCGCGACTAGTGGCTGGCCTTCCCGTTTCCCGACAGGAATCGGCAGGGGTCTCGGCATTTGTTCGCCTTCGCACCGAACGCACGGTGATACCAGCAAAGGTCGTCGTGATTGTCACGGCCGGGAGACCTGGAGGCACTTGGGTGGCGTGACGGTGGCCCGGGACTACGCTCTCGTTGGCGGTCACGCTGGGAAGGGGCACCGGTGTCACGGGTCATCACATTCACAGCGGACGTCAGCTTGGCGAGTTCAGCTCGGAGCTGGGCCATCTCAGCCCTGTCAGCGGTGCAGGCCTGTTCCGCATCTGTGGACGCTGTAGATCTACATGATAAGGCCGTATACGTACTAGACCGAGCAGGGCTAGGGGCTTCACTCAGAGCGTGAACACTTGTACCGGTGAGTGGGGTTGAGCACGTGCTATCAACCATCTTGTCAGCAAGCGCGGCGAGGTCGGCCAGGCTGAGGCACCAGTCACGGGCAAACGCTGTACAAACAGCTCGCGCAGGATAGTCGGGTCTAGAGACTTACTGCCCGAAAGCGAGCGGAAGCGGAAGAACCAGCGTCGCTGGACATATTGCACTTTACTCACGTCGGGGGTCACCAATTTGGTAGTCTAGATACAGTGCAACGAGTGTTAGTTTCCAAGATCTTTACAAGACTGGCGAACACTAAATGTCATGAAGAAAGTGAAGAGAAAGGAGGTTTATATAGGAAAGAGATTGTGATAGAAGACTGTGCAATGAAGTTTGTTGTTTTGTTAGATATCTGACGTGTGCTGTTTGGAAGAAGTGTTTGGATGCAAACAGAACTTACAAGAGATGAGTAAAGACTACTTTTCTACAATAGCGTTGTAGGCGAGGAGTGCGTAACATCAAAAGATGTCGTAATGTGTATTGGAACTATGCTAGCCAAACATTACGTAATGATTATGGTAGCGAAGTACGTGTAGTAGGTATTACAATGTGTGCGAGAGTATGGTGAATCAGTGTTTGTGATGATGAGGAAAATATGACGTGTACATGCAAACAAATGATGATGTCATGATGCGAGAACGTCAGAGACGCTACAGGTGCTTGATGTATGAGGAGGAGGTTGGCTGGGGGGGGGGGGGGGGGGGGGGGGGTTGGGTATCACTCCGGAGCTCCGGAGTAAGACTTGTATACAGTCATGTACTCCATAGGACCATAGTCATAGTCACTGAAGTCAGTAGACGTCTACTGTTTACGTTTTGTGTAGGACTACATTGTAGGATATAATTATTATTAAGGTAGCAGTACTGGAATATGCCATTCGCAAATACACACAACTAAAATCGGGTATTACTTCGGTGTCTGTGAATCTTTTCCCACAAAATTTTGAGCACAGATTCATGATTCACGCCACCACCTAATAAAAGTACTACCTTGAACTTATTTACTTCGCATCGTCCCAAAAGTTCACTGCGCTGGAGAGTAAAAAAATGCCGTCATCTCAGATTTTTGGTACATGCTAGCAGCAACATAATATCAGCTGAAGTGTTAAAATTGCATCACAAGCGACAGTCTACAACAGTAGCAGATGCTGAATAGAACAGATTGGAGATAGGACACAAATAGCACCACTCAGTCAACATCATCTGTGAAGACGCCCGTCACCGTCGAAAAAGATTATTACTACTGAGGCAGCTAACATCCGCCAAACAAAAAACTATGGCTTTATAAATATATTCAGCATCTGGGAAATTTTCCACTGATCAATCTACATATAAGGTTTATTGGGCTGTGATGAGCCAGTCTGGAGATATAGTGTACCAAAGTTTGGTCGGAAGGCCAAAAAACACTAACTTTTGGCACTCTGAGAACCCTCCAGCAATGTATGTGACTACCTCTGCTTGCTGTATCGTGTCAGCAAATCCCTTTCGAATGGCTCTTCTTCTCTTCCTGGCTGACTTTTGCTCCTCACTGGACCTTCTCCTCCTGTGATACTGCTTCTCTTCATCCAACTTGAGAAGACCAGAGCTGGCAAGTGAACCCTTAGAGCAGCTCATCATTTCCAGCACAGCAGAAAACATTTCCATTGTTCGTACTCAGCATTAGAAATCTTTCTTGCTTGCCATCTGTTCTTCCAAGTTTTACATCCACTGCAGTGTTTTGATAGCACCTCCGCGTTCAGAACCTTTTTCTGTCTCATAGGACACAACAGTTGGCATACCAAACATTGATGAGAATCCGCGCTTCATCCACGTTCCATCGGTGCTAACTGCAACATGCTCCGGGTGGGAATGCTGTTCTGTTGTTCGCCGAACAAGAAGACGCTGTGCAGCACTCTTCATGCTGTCCCTAGCATCAGTTTCCACAGCAGTGTGTAGTGCATCGCTGTGCCCAGAATTGGACTTGCTAACAGGAGGCGGCATATCCAATATCCCACAGATATTGTTCAGACCTTCTCGTCCACTACCAATAAGGCGCATGGCAAGCACACTGCGGCGGCGGTTTATATCGTACAATTTAGCAAGTGGGTGTCTTTCTGCCAGGGCTACACTGGTTGATTCGCAGCACGATTCGCACTGCAAACTAATTGTTGAGGCGAGGCCATGACGAAAATTATCTTTGATAGTCAGGTTGCCCTCTTGATAATTACTACATACACACGCTGACGTCACCAATTGCTGTAAGCTCTCCATGTGAACAATTCGATTTCCTGATGGAATATCATCGCAATCCTCTTCAGACTAATCTCCATCGTTATCACACGAGGCATCACTGAATAAAAAATCACCTGGAAGATCAGAGTCATCTTCTACGCCCTCACCAGCTCCATCAGCCTGCGACTCGCCGAGTGTTCGCTTTCACTCCCCTCAATTGGCTCAAATACTTCAGGACTTGAAACGAGCTTGGACGTAACTCTAGGAAATTTGCTTTTCCTTGGCCTGCTGAGCGACCTTCGTTTGTGTTCATCACCCGTCTCCTGACCAAGTAGCGCCAGCACAACAACTCCAGCGCAGAGCTGCAACGTCGATGACAAACGCTCGTCGCACTGGCAAACAGTTTGAGAACAAAGAATTTTTTATCATTTTTGAAAATACAAATTGCGTGGGTTGAGTGCAGGCCAGCCAGGCCAGCTAGCTTGGGCCAGGCAGGCGCTGCATGTGGCGATCGCGACACTCAGCCCAGCTCTAAACTGGTTTTAGCTGGACAGATAGTGTGAATCACGCCGAGATTGGCAAGGATGCGCTGATATTGTACAGAAACCCTCTCGAAATAGATTGACATCGATCAGCTGATCAGTGCAATTTTGAAATTTTGACGGGTATTTTCAGTTTTAGAAGGACCATATCTCTGCTTTGGCTGGTTCGAATGCCAAAAAATTTCATTTGTAGAGCCTTTGGTATTCCTTCTTTCAGAAAAATCACACTTGAAGCAGTTCCCGTGAAATTGATATTTTGGCTAAATCTGACACCCGTTTTCCAGTACTGCTACCTTAATATCATGATTATTATAGGAGTGAGACGACCAGGCCCAGGCCAGGGAGTATTTTTGGTACTCCCTGCCACGGCACTACAGTCCATTCATCGGAAACTGGCCCGCTGGCTTTTGGAAGTCGGATTTGGGCCGAATTGAGGATCAAAAACCCACTTTAAATCTCAAAAATCTGTGGGTTTTGGATCTGCTTCTCCATACATTTTGCCATGGCATACCCGTCCTAATTTTGTAAAACCTGGCTGAATTTCTATTTTCCTGTTCTTGGACTTTTCTGGCCTCAAATGTGGCAAGGAGTAATTGCACGGGTCACACAATGCAGGATGTACTGTTGTTTTCACGATATCTACAACTACATGTATGTGAGAGAGACACCAAAAAGTTAGGGTGCCAGTTTCCAATGAATGGACTGTAACATGGTCTTGACCCGAGTACATGACTTGTAATTTTTTGTATGTGCACTGCACTGACGTCTGTCGGACCGCTGTGCACTGTGATCGTATCGTTAGCGCACACTCTTTCACGACTTTGACCATTGCTGCATTGCCTTGGTAAGCGACTACAGTGAAACCTGTCTAAGACGACCGCTCAAGGGACCTTCAAAACGTGGTCTCGGTAACCAGGTGGTCTCCTTATCCAGGGTCATATGACAGGAAATAGCATACCTTGGTCCTGGCTGCAGTGGTCTTCTGGGACAGGTGGTCGCCTTATCCGAGTGGTCGCATTGACAGGTTTTATGGACTGAGTAGTAAAACTGGTACATACCGGTACTAGTATTGTTGACAGCATTTGAACTAGTATTGGGTTTATAATACCATACTCCATAGTTGGTATTGTACAATCATTAAAATTTTTGTTTTGTTGACCGCTAGCGCTGGCGCTGGGTAGATCTACGGGTCACATGTTCAGTGTTGTTCGCATATCCGCTGTTTATTTGGACATACATTGTACATTATTCATTGTAGATCTACCATGATAACTGTGCATGTACGAGCTAGCACATGACATGATGACAGCCTGCGCGAAATGGTGTAGCGAGGAGTAGTCTACGACTCTACGAGTGCGAGTTTTCATCGCATGATCACAGTGCATATCATGCTAGCACGCTCGCGTCGCTCGGCTCCTGTTTTGCAAAAAAATAGGTAGTACAATACTGACAGTACGAGTAGTAGTAGATCACAGTCAGTGTAGACCTGCTGGTTTCCATCTACTTTTTCTCTTTCTTAGCTGCTGCCTGAACTGTGTTACTTTGTCAAATAAGTAGAATTTTATACTTACATGTATACTGGAAACGCGTTGTGTTACAAGTAGGTTCGCTCACCGGGGACCCGGAGAAGACGAGTAGAGCGTTGCCAGTTTGACTGAATGCGCTCTACAGGAAAGCACGCCGGCTTGAAGCTTTTGAGCGGAAATTGTCTGAACGTGACTGCGAAGCCGATCATCTGAGCTGAATGAACTGCGTTGTGTGTCGATCGTCATCGGCTTGGTGGCTCTGACTTCTTCTCTTTCTTTTTTTAGTATAGCGTTGAAGCGCTGTTGACTTTGCTGCTCGCTAGCCATGAGGGCGGGCGTAGCATGGAGCAGCGTGGCCTATCTTCTGGCTGCCTGTTGCAGCTTGGTTTGTGCGGGCGGTGAGGATTTCGGAGCCGCTGCTCGGAGCGACGTTCTTCGGCGTGCACGACGTACGCAAGATAAATTTGTTGTGCAACTGGATGGCAGTGAGCTGATGGGAGCATCTGTTGAAGAAAACCTCCGAGAAGTTGTATCAAGAAGTAAGCGACAAGCGTCGTCCGGAAAATCTAGGAACGGCTCGGCGCTAGCATGGCCGGTGAGTTTCCCTGGAGAGCCGGTAGCTTCCAATGACTTCCATAAATCTAGCAACAGTCTGTAGCGATCGTGGCCAAACTAACTTGGAAATGTGAAAAAGAGAAAATTGATAGTGCCATTTAGATTTTTGCCATGATGCACATAATCACCGACAGTGGACGACGTTACAAGTAGTTTTTGTAAGCACCGTTTCGAGTTTTGAGCAAGTGTTTGCTGAGGCAAGTGCATACGAGTGTCATCATTAACCACATCTGACACACACAACTATCATTCTGATCTTCAATACGATCGGGGTTTGTTCTGTAGAGTTTGGTAGGCTGCATTGAATGAGCTTGCAATGGTGTATCGTTCGTCAGACGTAATATAAAAAATATTTCACGGCTCGCATCGGACTCGGCTAAAGGCCGAGTTTTCCGCATCCGTAGGAACACCACCACCCTTCAAGGATCGTCAGACATTCCCTATCATAATTGTTTTGCAGGACTTCACATTCTACTGGTGACATCACATCACTGAACCTAGCCAGCAATTCACACATAGAGTTTTGAATACAAACATTTTATTGGGAATTGATGGTGTTATGTGACCTGCTGCCTTCGGACCAGGACTGTTTGACTCAGTGTCCGCAAGACTCCCTGTCCTGATTTTTCGGGGTTGAAGGAGTTAGTGATATTGACTTAGCGAGAAATGCAAGTGCACTGCATACTACACGTGGCGTACTGCTTTTCGGGTAGCTGGTCGTTATTTTGACCGGATGATGTGGGTATGCATCACTTCAGTATCAATATTATGAAATGACTCCTGGGTGGTGCGAAGTGTGATTACCAGAAGTATGGCATAAATGAATATTTTCAGAATGCGTAGCGATCGAGTGGAATAATCTTGGTCCAAGGTCAAAGAGGCTGCTGTACATCGCTCCCCTTAAGCGAATGGGCTTCATAGTTGTCCATTTTTACATTCGAAAATGTGGTGCTTGCTATGTCATGGTGGCCAGGTAGGGATAGTGATGACACCTGGCAAACAGTAGTTATGCAGGATAATTAATGCAAATAAGTGGACAGCAGGTGCTGGTGGTGGTTGTAGTCCTGTTGCTGCTGTTGCTGTTGCTGCTGCAATCCTGAGTAGATTGATGCGGTTGAAAGACATTGCTTTTGATCGCGCCACGGCTTATTTCCAGTGACGTTGCTGGCCCGTTGTTAGGGTCCAGCGGATAATGCTCCGAAAATGTTCGTATAATGCTAATCATGATGCTCCAATAACTACCTGATAATGCTGATTATAATGCTCCAACAAGGGCTATAATGCTCTTGGTTTGGAACAAAAATGGAAGAAAGGCTGCACATTGTCAAACTTCCAGGAAAGGATGCATATAGTCAATCTGCCTCTGAAGCTGCTGCAATATCTCTCACGAGCTCCACCACTTCTTAGCACTATAAGACATGATCGCGTCTCCATTGGCTGCTCTCCATTGCAACTTTGATGCAGGGCTGTGGCTGAACAGTGGGTGTATCAAATCTTTTCCCTTGCTTATCCATGAAGTGGGATGTGAGACCATTATTGCTGGTGATCAATTGGATGCTGGAAGCTTATCATGGGAAGTGATATTCCTGCCTGCAGACAAGCTGTCACTGCTTCCAGTCTGTGAAAAATGTCTTCATCTGAAACAGCTTACGTGAGGCAAGTTACTGAGAGACCATCTCAGATCGAGATTCCTCCCATTTGTGGAAATCCTGAACACACGTGGTCAGAAGTTATTTTGCCGCTCTACACCCTCTGCTTGCGCTGTCTTCTTCTCCTGAGGTTGCATGGAGACAAATGGTTGGTCACAATACTCTTCTTTTCTGATAGCACTTGACATTACAATCGTCCACGACGAACTGTACGTGCTTCACCAGGAAAGTAAAACATGCGCTGCTGAGCACTCAAATCGACTTGGTGCTGCGTCCATGAAAAATTCTAGTTCTTTTCGAGCCTGCTGAGCTGGACTCGGCAAAGGCAGTTATTAATTTTGGAGTAAGCTCTATCCGTTTATAGCCACTCCTTCATGTAGGTCCAAATGTTTATCAATGGATTAGTGTTTACTTCAGTATCGCTAGATATGCTATGGCCAGAGCCTATGGCATAACACTTTTTATTAACAGGAAACTCCTCTTCCTCTGTTTGATATTCACTTCGCGTAGATCTACGTAGTCTCCTCCATCATCCATAGCTCTCCATGATTTCTAAAAAAATTCCTCGTACATCATCATTACCGATTTTGTGCACTTCGAAGCATAAACAGCCTCAGTTGCAACGTACGTTGGGCATGCTACATCACATGTACATTTACCTGACATTGCTACATAAAGACTTTATGTAGCAATGACAATACTGCATGTAGTCAGGTAAATGTAGCGCTAAAGGTGTTACGTGTGACGGTGTCTACACTCACAAAGCCATGTGCCGGTACAATATTATGGCGTTGCACCTCATGCACTCATGGCTTTAGCCGATTGTTGCCAAAAATCATGAGATTTCCCGACATTATCCACTATAAAACTCGTTATGCCGCTCAAACGTCACATAATGCTCGTCTTGTTCCTTCCTAATGCTCGGATAGGCTTATAATGCCGAATATAATGCCGGCATTATCCGCTGGACCCTACCCGTTGTGCCACAGCTGTACATTTCATCACACTCATTTTCAGTCAACTTAAGTTTGATTTGGAAATTAGTTGAACAGTAATTTCATGATTTTTGCGGTCCATTTTCTAACATTTCTATTCGATGAGAAATCCTACTCGCATTTTTGGCTTCTGAAGACCCACAGTTTGCCCGAGTACTTTGTGTTATGATAATGGTGGTTAACACCAGTGAGTAGTGCACTACCTGCATGGAATTGTACCTCTCAGTAGTTAGTAAAGTTGCTACTGTTCCGTGCATCACTTCATGACACCCATGCCAGTTCACAATTGAAACACCTTTATTTTTGTACGCTTGTCATTCAGTATGGAAAGTCGAGCAATTCCAACTATGCCGTCACACGCCGATTTGTATGGTACATGTAGCACGGCGGGGTTTCATTGCCGATGTTCATACACGGAGTCGTCGTGCGTGGCCTATTGCTTCTTACATTGCATTGTGTCGCGTCTTATTGGATGTGAACCGGGCATAGTGGTGATCAGGTATCCTGGTACTTCGTTGCACTCTCCAGCACACAACTGTACACTGAGGCTCAGTGGTAGAGTGACTTAAATTCACATGTACCCATTGGCCAACTAATTACGTCCCCTCTCCTCCAAAGTGTTCTATTATAGATATTGTATGATGACGAGACCGTGTGCCCAGTCCTCTTTGCTTGTAATTTCTCTTCACGTGCTCTCTGTATCCACAATGTGTGTTGTGTATGTATTGTGTATGTATTGTGTTTGTATTGTGTATGTATTGTGTATGTGTTGTGTATGTATTGTGTATGTGTTGTGTATGTGTTGTGTATGTGTTGTGTATGTGTTGTATATGTGTTGTGTACTTCATGTAGGTTTCACTTTCTGGAGATAATCACCTGATGGCTATTGTCCATTGGATTGGTCAGAACAGTCCAACCATCGTAGTTGTGACACGAGATAACCCGGAGGTGCCCAGTAGCAGCAACAGTGAGCTCTATATAAGCAGCGACTATGGTCAGACGTTTGTCAAGAAAACCAGCTTGCTGATGCAGCCCGGCTCCACGAAACCGGCGGTTATCAATGACTACTTTCCGAGCAGTGGTAACACTGGTACTGGGTCCACTGAGAATGTGAGTGAGCACCGTCGTTTGGAAATTGGCTCTCTGGCACTTGAACCGTTATGGCCTTTGGTCATAGACTCATAGACCATGTCCTGCTCTTTCTGCACAGTCTGATGCAAACCTGATTGTTTAGAGTGCAAGTGTAGAAAGGAAAGGGACATATGGATACGAGTTCAGAGTAACTGTCTACCGCTGTAACTAGATACTATATACAGGCAGAAAGTGCAACAACTAGGCACAAAATTGACAGAGTACTGAGACATTCGACGACATGACACCTAGGGCCAACACATCTTCGAAGTGCTAACCAACAGCCTTCCAACTCGGAAGGCTCTAGGTTAAGGAAAGACCAAAGAGAGGAAGGTAAGCACATCGTTATGCAGTAAACAGCCTCAGGCCTAGCCGTTGTGCAGTACACCGCCTCAGGCCTAGCCGTTATGCAGTACACAGCCTCAGTCAGGCCTAGCCGTTATGCAGTAAGCCTCAGGCCTAGCCGTTTTGCAGTACACAGCCTCAGGCCTAGCCGTTTTGCAGTACACAGCCTCAGGCCTAGCCGTTATGCAGTAAACAGCCTCAGGCCTTGCCGTTATGCAGTACATACCGTATTATCTCTAATATAAGCACGGTCCTTTATTTTTTCAATGTACCTCCGCCCCGTGCTATTAATGGAGACGTTCCTTTATTGGAGACTGTTCCATTATTATTTCAACCTCATTTCAGAGGCATATTGCCATGCCAAATTCACGTATAATGCACACATTTCAGGGTTTTTTTCGCCGGTACAGATAATGAATTTACACAGTGTGCTTATAATGGAGACTGAGCACTTTATTTATTGAATGCCGCCCCAAGGTGTTCTATTATTGGAGACGTGCTATTATTGGAGACTGTGCTTATATTAGAGATAATACGGTAGCCGCGGGCCTACAGTCCATTCAGAAAAAGATGGACTTCTAGCTTTTGGCCATAAATGGGTCAAACGTTGAGTTTTTTAGAATTTTTTTCTGCAATCCCCTATGGAATCCTCTTCCAATTATGTTTCTGAAGTCTATTTCTCCAAAAAGCAAGCCATAGCAAGAATAGGATTTCGGCCAGGTTTTGCCCCAAGAGCACTGAATTGGGAAAACCCATCAAAATCCAGGCCGTTTGACCCTGCCTGCAACAGTGCATTGTACGGTTCGAACCCCGGTTCAGGTACCCTTTTTGAACCCTTTTTCAAATTTCAAATTTCACAGCACTGCACTGTGTACGATAAAAACTTGAAAAATCGCCAAATACGGGAGCTCGCCAGAGCCAGGGCCCATCTTTTTGTGAATAAACTGTAGCTGTTATGCAGTACCTTGCCTGTTAGTTCTCTCATGTTGCATCTGTTGCTGTTGTAGATCATATTCTGGGACAAGCTACACAATCTGCTGTTCTTGACGCGCGACGCTGGGCTGACCTTCCAGCGGCTCACGCACAACTTTACGCTCCGCGGTATGACAGCTCACCCGACGAACCCAAACCTGATTGCTGCATGCGCTGAAGGTGACTCGCAGTGTAACAATGTAAGTTGCATGTGTTTCTGCCTAGGGCTGAAACGAATATGCCGAATATTCGAGCATTCTTTCATTTAGCTTCACAGAGTGAACATTCGTGGCGTGAAGAACATTTGGACTGGAAAGGTCCACTTGGCACTATAAGGCTGCGTTTACACGACAACGCACGGCCAGTTTTCCGTTTTCAGTCCCGCATTTCTTCTTTCGTTTTCAACTTTTCATGCGTTTACATGATCAAAGCTGATCCGAGGTGGTCTCCGTTTGTATCGTTTTCGCGCGTCTACACTGGAGCAATAGATCCGCAAAAGTTCGTCATGTGCCAAGTGTTGTCGTGGAAGCACCAATCACACTCAAGGAATAGTTGAAAACAGGCCACAAAACAACACTCGTCACATGACGAAAATTGTAAAAACATTTTTTTGGATTGCTGGATTCGTGTGAACGGCCGAAAACGAAACAAACGTGACGGAAAACGAGGCCAGCATACCGTTTCGACTGTTTACACACTCAAATTTATCCGGCAGAACATTTCCGTTTTCAAATTCTTCCACCTTGGCCAACGTTTTGGCTTTCTTCCGTTTTGGTGTACAACTTTTACGTTTTGCTCTTCGTACCGTGTAAATGAACCATGCATCCGAAAGGATTTTGTTGCGTTTTCACCCCCAGCGTTGTCGTGTAAACGCAGCCTAAGATACAAGGTTGGCAGTGTACCTATATACCCGCTGCAATGCCGAGCCAATATCCGTACTAAGCAGAAGCGCACGGTGGAAACTGTTTGGTCATATTCTACGCCTCCCTGAAGCAACTCCAGCGCAGGTGAGCATGACAGCGTATTTCCAGCGACAGAATCGGGGCTGGCTCGAACGCCCGCGCATCACCCTACCAGTGGTGATAGACAACGAATTAGCCAAGGCAACGTCCATGCGTCTCCGGAGTCTGAAGGACCTGGAGACACTGCGTTTGGTGGCTCGGAACAGGCAATCATTTAACGATATAATCGCACAGGTCACATTGTAGAGTGCAGATCACTTAGTGCTTTCAACAATAATAACGTACTTCCACATTATGGGAATTTGGTATAACCCCACACCCGTCATTGTTGAATATTCGATAATAGCGTGGATTTCCCCAACAATATATTTTCATTTTTTGTTATCCTCTCCCATGCCGTTGTACATAAGCGGCTTGCCGCGGATATGTCAATACTACTATACTAGTGTGAGTATGATCTTTGATCAAACCACAAGCTGTCTTTCAGAGCGTGAACTGCACCACACGGACCATACTTGAGTGCAGTGTAACTATGTTACGTCAGATGGTGTGCGGCTATGCAGTTGAGCAGCCATGACTTGAATGCCTGGAGTATCTATGTGCGTCACGCAATAGGAAATCATGTTGCTAGTACAGAGTGAGTCTTATAGTTCTACCTGCAAATGCTGCCATGCCCACATATACGTGCACAATAGCTCAATGCATGCTGATCTTGATTTAGGAAGTTTTAATCACTGACTATATTGGAAAAAAGTTTGCTTGAAGATGTCCACGGGGAAAACTTGCCGGCAAAGAACCATGCATACACACAAGAAGACACTGCATGCTACACTGCTGCAGCACTGCCTAGCAACGATAACTAGGAATAATGCTTACACATTGCCGCTTGTTAAGATACTGACCAATGCATAATAATACTGTTCTCTGATTCTCTTCCCAGCTGTATATATCAGAGAGCTATGGTCAATCATGGTTCCTGGCATCAAGTTCAGTGTCGAATTTCTACTGGTACGTCCATGCTCCCTTTGCATTGAGTAGTTACGTTGTGCTGCAGTATGTTCCAGTGGATGTGGCTCGGTTCCATTGTATGCTTTGTGCAAAGAAACTTCAGTGTGAATATTGAATATTGAGAGTTGTTTCGTGTCGGCTCTGAGGTCGTGGCATCAAAGTGACAGTGTTCATGTGGAACACAGATACCATGTAGCAGTATGCTGTGTACGATTACGTGCAGAACAGGCCACACAACCAAAGTACATGTATGATACGAAACCCCTAGACGAGAAATGCATCTAGCACTTGAATGGACACCCTGTGTCCAGAGTTTGTTCATACGTGAAATCCTGGGCGGAATCAGATCACAGTGATGAGCCGCCATTGCTTGAGGGTGAGGATGTGTTGGATTAATGAACCGGGCGAAACTGGGGCTGCGTCTGGACATAGTAGTGATCTGTCATCCTGTCCTCTGACAGACGGATGGGATCTTGTTCTTGAATAGTGCAAGTACCTGACGCATGCAGGATTGCAAGTTCCTGCGCGTTTGTACAAGTACATGTACTTGAATCAGTGCGTTTTGTGTCTATCTGTTGCTGATCTGGATCTTTGTTTGAACTCTTGTCTTAATCCTGGTATGCCGCGTAGGGGAGAAACAGGATATGACACATCACTGACTATCTTTGTGCAGAAACAAGAGACAGGTATGTAATCTCAACTATAATTTGTGATGAAATGGAAACATTTATACACAACCAAGAGCCGTTTGGTTATCAGCCACTGGTAGGGCAGCAGGATGTTGCTGGACAACATTAGTATTTTTCTATTGATGTATCAGCAGCGTGCCTTTTAGCAATTGCTAAGACTGGAGTCAGTCATTTATTGTTCATCACTCATCGCTTGTGGAGTGATGGACAACGCTAAGGAGCTTCCGCAGGTCTCCCTGTCTGAACAACTGTACATCCGCAGGTCTCCCTGTCTGAACAACTGTACAAGTATGTGTGTCGTACTGGAGAATAGTGTATGCCCATCCTGATGCCTAGTAACATTGGTCTGGGCTTTCAGAAAGCCGGGAAACAGGCTGAGAAGGGTGTGCTGTGTCTAATTCTGGCTACATGTATTAGTAACTGGTGGCATTTTCCGGCTTTGTTTGAGTGATTGCAATCACTGTACACTCACCTGTATGCTCAGTTCGAACTATTCATGTGTGCTGCTGGTAGTTTACGTTCAGTTCACTGACATCACAATACCTAGTAAAAATTGGTGTGTGACGTTCTTGGTAATGAACTGTGTGCGCAACTTTCCTATAACTATTATAAGTGCATGTGCCTATCCGTCGTGTATTGGCGCGTGTTTCTAGATGGAAAGCACAATATCTATATGTCGCAGCAACTGTTCAAACCGAATGATCGTACACGGCGCCTGGTCGTGCGTGAAGTGGGAGATTTCATCGTCTACAACCAGTACATGTTCTATACTAAGACGGTAAGCCTGGGCTGTGGGCTGTGTATGTGCTGGGCTGTGTATGTGCTGGGCTGTGTATGTGCTGGGCTGTGTATGTGTGGACACTGCACCCCTCCGCATATTGGCGCATCATCTGCATAGGCATCATCTACTAGGGAATCCATTATCTCCATCTCTCTATCTCTCTATCTCCATCTCTCTCTATCTCTTTCTCTATCTAGACAGTTGTCTAAGATCATCCGGCTGCGTATGGTGCTCTATGTCCAGTGAACAGAGCCAGAGTCTTTCTCTATGTATGTCCAGTGAACAGAGCCAGAGTCTTTCTCTATGTATGTCCAGTGAACAGAGCCAGAGTCTTTCTCTATGTATGTCCAGTGAACAGAGCCAGAGTCTTTCTCTATGTATGTCCAGTGAACAGAGCCAGAGTCTTTCTCTATGTATGTCCAGTGAACAGAGCCAGAGTCTTTCTCTATGTATGTCCAGTGAACAGAGCCAGAGTCTTTCTCTATGTATGTCCAGTGAACAGAGCCAGAGTCTTTCTTCATGTATGTCCAGTGAACAGAGCCAGAGTCTTTCTCTATGTATGTCCAGTGAACAGAGCCAGAGTCTCTCTCTATGTATGTCCAGTGAACAGAGCCAGCGTCTTTCTCTATGTATGTCCCTCTTCTGCTTAGGTGAACACCACCACTTTTGCCCAGGCTCTATACAGCTCGGCAGACAGGACTACCTTCTCACGATGCAAGTTCCCATTGGCACTACAAGAAAACGTTAGTACTTAAGTACAGTAATGTAGAATGTTACAAGATAAAGTTTTCACCGCTCCGTTACCACAGGCTAACGGTATACAAATATCAGAGAAACTTAGTTAGGCTGGTGATGGACATCACCAGTTTCTCCGATAATTGGTAAATCCAATACGACCAATAGAACCTTCGTGGTATGTCGATTCAGCTGGTTCTGTTCATTGCGATTCTTGTTAACTTATTATGCCAACATACTAAGTTTTGGCAATGGTCTTCCAATCAGCTGGTGTGTTACATGTTGCATGTAACTTCTACTAGTGACGAAGCCTTGGTAATTGGAGACAAACAGATGCTGTCATATCGTTCAGTGTCAGCCATTCCTACTGCTCACTGGACTGTCACTGAACGCAGCAATAAGGAAAGGAGTAGTGCGTCCATTTATATGCACAATTGCCTTTCATAAATAAAAAAAACATGTACATGCCCCTCTCTCTGTGTCTTTCCTGTCTTCAGCTCTACTTGATTTCTGACGCACGAGAGAACCAAGTGTTTGCTACTGTCGTTCACGACAACACTGGTGCAGTGGCTCACCTTTACATTTCTGAGTCGAAAGGAGTCAGCTTCACATTGTCGTTGGACAACATCAGATTCTACTTGGGGTACGTTGAGAATTGCGAGCCTTCTTGCACATAACTCTTAGTCGTACACATACATGCACATCAGAAATTCTTCCTGCCACTCAGCTTTAGGAAAAAGCACGATGATTATTCAACCAACATATGTGTGACCAACATATGTGTGGAAGTACTGATGATCCTACAGGTAGGACCCGGGAAATTGCACTACAAAAGTGCTTTTTTAGTCTTAAAAGCGCAAGACTACGTCCAGTACATTGTATACTTGTTTGCAATTGTCAATATGGCTGTACATACTTATGTTGGAGCACTAGCAACTGTGCCACGGTCTAAATAAAAATTTGGCTATAGTATATCACGTTCCACTCTTGCCATGAACTCAGTGTTGCTATGGACTCAGTGTTGCCATGGACTCAGTGTTGCCATGAACTCAGTGTTGCCATGGACTGCTGCCATGGACTCAGTGTTGCCATGGACTCAGTGTTGCCATGGAGTACACCCTGTAGGATCACCTCTAAAATACATGTACATGCATGTGACCTCCATCTTCAGTCCCTGGGCAACAATTTAGGGTGAAGTTTTCGGTAAATAACCGACGAGGAGACAACAGTCGTAAAATAGCAATGAAAAATATCAATTGTGCACTCATAACCATGTGTAAACAATTAAAATGAAACAATTCTAGAACGTTTTCGTGTGACCATCATCAGTGGAACATCGTCACATAGTTAGAATCACTAAAACAACCAGTTATATAGCTAGAGTAATATGAAAAGAAGCGTGAGAATGCAGCACAGCTAGCGGGTAGGCGGAACCAGTAGTGGCAGGTGAAAGTACGGGCGCAGCAGTGAACACGTCAAGGAGAAAGAAGCGATGGCATGAGGAGATGGAGATGGAGGATGATGATGGGGATGAACAGGATGGTCAGGGGGAAAGCAAGGGTGAGCAGGAACAGGAAGTGGAGGATGAGAGTGATACGGACGAGGAGGAGTTCGACATCGACAAGAGCAAGTCTGCCATCTACAAGCATTTGGTGTCCAGTCCGGATTGTCGTAAGTTGTTTGACGATTCCTGGTTTAGTGTTATTTGTCGCGCGCGTTTCTTTAAGCAGTTGCAGGTGTTGGAAGCTGTATATATTCGCACACGTGACCCTGTTCTATGCAAGCAAAAAGAAAATGTTGTAGCACTCACACTTTTTAAATAATACGCACTCACCAGTTTTTGTTCACACGCACTCACAACTGCCACATTCATCTACTGCTACCATTCTCAGATACACTGCAAAGGTTCACACTACACGCGTTATGCATAACCGCTAGCTGTGCTGCATTCTCACGCTTCTTTTCATATTACTCTAGCTATATAACTGGTTGTTTTAGTGATTCTAACTATGTCCAGGTCCTAATATAATGAGTAATATTACCAGAAAGTAGGACCAGGGTCTATTCAAGCTATTAATATTAACCTTCCCTTCCTTTCCTTTTTCTTGGTCAATTTTTCTTCAGACTTTTCCCATTTCAACTCCCTCACTCTTATGAATATTGATGTATTGGGGCTCCCCATATGCTAGTTTGTACATACAGTGTGTGGGTTACACTTACAGTGAGTCATGCATCCCACTAGCCTGCGTGGATTCACAGGAAGCGTACGTTTCGAAATCCGGAGAAAACGTTCAACAGTCCCTGCTGGGATGACAGCTACACTACATCTTAGTGGTAACGTTAGAGCATCGCTGGCCGTAAGCCATGGCCCCTGGCTCGAGTTTTGGTGGTGACAGTCAATGTTGTTCTTCAGACTTTACCCGTTTCAACTCCCTCAACCTTATGACATTGCCTCCTGTCTTTGTGCTGTGCATTTTTCACTGCAAGTAATATGTAATATGTACATCTAAATGTGCTCCATGCTGATGTGTTTAGGAATGGCTATCCAGAAGTTGATCTTCACCGAGTCGAAGGGCTGCGCGGCATCTACATCTGCAACCAGTGGCTTAGCGGTCGTACAAATGTCCGCACCATGATATCGTTTGACAAAGGCGCGCTGTGGAAAGTCATCACTCCTCCAGCGCTGGACCCGACGACGAAAAACAGGACTACGTGCTACTTGAATTATGTAAGTCACTCTCCTGACTGCGTGCCCTAGAGGACTAGTCATTGTATTTATTCAACATTTCCTGGCTCGTCAAACGACTGCCAATGACAAATGAATGTGAAATGAAGGGTGATAGCCAACCACGACACATATCCGAAACAGTAAAAAAGTAAAAGGCGTGAAGGAAGAGTCGAAAATAGCCCGTCATAGAGGTGTCCTGGAGAACTATTTTGAAGTAAGTAGTCACGAGAAGTGGGCAGCATTCAAGGTGAACACTCAGGTCATGACATAAAGCATGTCGTTGGTTGAGTGGGCTTTACTTCGAATCGGTAGCGAGTACTGTGCTGGTTTACCCAATGTGCCGAGTGACTCTCGTCCTACCGCGTGTCCGTGTTACTGTTCACAGCCCAACTGCTCGCTGCACTTGGCCCAGAAGTCCAACCAAGATGCTAACGGCAACAATGAGCCCATCATGTCTACCGACGCCTCGCCTGGTTCAATATTGGCCACAGGTTAGTGCTGTGTTGAGTGCTACTTATTTATTTATTCATTTATTTATTTATTTCTGCACCTCGTACCATGTCAAGACAGCCAATTGAATTGAGGAGAGGGTGAGACCCGTTGAACCACAGGAAAAAGAGGAAAAAAGAAAATGAAAAGCATGTACACAACAGGGGAAGGGATTAGCAACTTACAAAGCAATGGCATGTCCAGCGAGCTTTGCTGCGTAAGTGGTGGCTGTGATTTTTTTACTGGAAGATACTGAAGTGCTGTCTGACGAGGGTACGGAATTTGGGCATATCGGGAACTTGTCTAACACTGGGAGGCAGTTGATGCCAAGTGGAGTAGGAGGGAAACAATGGGGAATTAAGTTCAATTTACCAATAGGTTAGACCTAGCTAGGGGGAGACGAATGCAGCTTCGGGTGAAACCACCTGGCTTAACCAATTAAAGGTGACTTTAAATGAGCAGGTCAAGAAAAATAGAATGTTCCAGGGTGCACTTAGAAGCATCAAGATAATGTTGCAAAGTGGTAGTGGATGCAGCAGCATGCAAGTCTGAGTTTGAAACGCAACGGTCTGTACGAAATATACGAAGGATACGGCGATGAAGAACTTCCACTTTCTCAATTCGGGTTTTGTTAACGGTGGTTACAGTAGCCCGCAGAGCTTGGGATACGCTCTCTGTGCTTTTGTCCTGCCGTCCTTTTCGTCCATAGGTCACCTCTTGCCACGTGTTCTGTGTCACCTGTGTACTACATGTACCTGTGTTCCGTGCTTCACAGCACTGTGTATCAGCTCTGTGGGCCGTACGAGTACTACCAGTACATGCAGCATGCCTTTGGCTTTGTTGGTCAGGCAGGGTGCTACTTGAACTTGTACCTGGTGGTGTTGCAGCGGGAACTTGGGTGTGCGGATGGTACTACTGTAAGACTTCGCAGCAGCCGGAGGTCCCGTACCCACGTTTTGTTGGGATGTGTACGTGTGTATGTGTGTGCGGTGTGGTGTGATAAGAGTTCAGGCGTGGAAGACTTCTCTTGACGAAACTCTAGTACTTCACGCCTCGGCTCTAGGATTTCCGATTTCAGGGCCGAATTGGTGTTCTCTCTATTTCTCTCTTCATAACAATCTCCTTGGACAAGGTTGAGACGCATGATACTAGGCTAGACAATTGTACTTCCAATGTACCGTTTGGAGTTGCTGACTGCGGCAGCACTCCCACACCCATCTTCCGGAGTTCTTTGACGAATTCCGGCCGAGAAAGGCTTGAGGGTAGGTCTACCGATTTCCACTCACCCAGGTCCGGCAACATGATTTAGGACCTTGAATCCCACCAGGGCTAAGTCTAGATTTTCATCAAGGGGCATCGTAGGGTACACAAAGTGGTTTGGCCGCTGCTGAAGGGATGCTGTAGGAGTGCAGCTGAGGCTGATCCTCAGAGCACAAAAAATGGCAACCGTCCAAGAGCTTCACTTTTTTTGTCTGATATGCTATGACCCTGTTCATGTGAGTTGAATGAAACAGAAAGGTTTCAGGCTGTCCAAAACAGATCTCAATACCCAAAGGGCAGAGCTCCTTAAAAGAAGTGGAGGATGAAAAAGGTTCATTGTAACTCTGAGTTTCATGCACGAGTCGCTCGTCATACAACATATTGAGATAAATCTGGTTGCTGGTTTACATACCCACAAAGTAAAGGTGTGAATCACAGCAGCACACGACATCATAGCGTGATTGATGCAGCAATGCACTACATCATAGCGTGACTACTTCAGGTAGTAAGCATGTGAGTTAATTTAATTTTTAAAATTATTTCACTCTACTCGTGGTACATGACCAGTTGGCACACAAAGTGCGAGAGAGGGGTGATAGCCAACCATGCCAAGAAAAGAAAAGAAAAGGACAAGAAGAAAAGAGAAGAAGGAAGGATAAACAAGCGGCCAGCAAAGAGAGATCCTATTTTGCTACATTATGCAATCGGAGAGCAGCCTCAGACCTAAAGCTGGAAAGACATTTGGAAATCTTAACATGCTGAGTTACTGAGTTGCAGCCAATAGGTGTAAGGCAGAAACAGAGGAGAGTTGGTAGATGCGGCTGAATTAGCACGAGGCAGTGAGAGACTATTACGAGTGGACCGGTACAGAGAAAACCAATTGAATATGGAGAGATGATTAGGAATTTTACCTACTGAAGTAGGCGAATTCTGTGGATCATAATACAGAGCTGTTGTTTGCGTTTATCTTGCAGTGGCTGAGTATTGCTGATACACTAGAGCTAAAGACTAGGAAATACACGCTGCTTGTTAAACAGTATTTTTAAGAAGAGATCTGTGTTGGATTTCAAGTTTATTCACAATATGCTGACTTAGACTACACCAAGACTGGCATGCATACTGGAGAATAGGTAATAGATACGAGCGATAAAACAAAGAACGGCATATTTGGCAGATGAGTTCATTAGAGTACCTTAACCCAGGCATGCATTGATTGATTTGTGACTTTGCTGACTTCATTGTCCATTGCATATTTCCTTCTCACGTGCATTGTGAATTTCTCTCTGGTATGAAGGCAATGCTGGAACGCAACTTGCCGCCGGCCCCAATGTTAACGTCTATTACTCCAAAAATGGTGGCTTAGACTGGAACAATGTGAGTCCTGTTTTAACAGTGGTTGTTGCTTGTCTCTTGGTTAGGCTTGCTATTCTTCTGTCTCTCTATAAGTAAGAGGTTGTATTTAACCAAGTAGTGCATAGTAACTGTTTCACATCTAGGACTATTGGGGGTCCTCGGTTTAGTTTTTAGTTGTCTCTGAAACGGACATCGTTCATTTCGTACTCTGACCCCTCCCCAACCTCCGAAACGAACACCGCTTGCTGTGCTGGATGACGGAAATCGCATGCATGTGCATGTGTATGAACAGCATCTGTCGACCTGAGATTTTAGCTCGCACCCCCCCCCCCCCCCCCCCCAATGACCGATGTTTGTTTCAGGGACGATAAAAAACCGTTTGCGACGACCGACCCCTTATTATTATTATTATTATTATACGCATTTCCGCGGCAGCGTCAACCAAGCAGTACCAAGCCCTTATAGTACAAATATACTACAAATGCTTGTTCGTGCCATATTTTGTATTCGCATGGTGTGATTACAGTCAGACCTCGCTTAACCGCACACATCCGTTTTCCACAAAAAAATATCCGGATAGGCGAGGGAACCGGATAACCGAACACCGGTTATGTTGGATGCACTATGCGTACTGTAAATCTGTAACCAGCTATGTTCTTCCGGATGGCGAGGGATCCGGATAAAAGAGGACCGGAAAAGCGAGGTCTGACTGTATTACCATCAGTTAGAGAGTGCAAAAAGATGTGCTAGTACAGGTTTGCGATTCTACACTGTTGTGAATTCCAGCAGAAATCCAAGAGAGCTCGATACCGGGAAGGTAGAGCCGTGACACACTAGTCAGAACAACAGCTGATCAGTCCAGTCTTCTCAGTCCATCCATTGCTGGCTTTCCGCTAGAGAGAGAGCTCAACCAGGGGTCGGGAGCAGATCCACACGGTTTGCGATTCTATGTACATGTGGCTGTCTCCCCCTGTTGCAGATGCTAAGCGGACGCCACTTCTACAGCATCGGAGACCATGGTGGCCTACTTGTGGCCGTCCGGCAATTTGCTCTGGTGGACACATTCCAGTAAGGGTGTGTGTGGGAGACCGGGGGGGGGGGGGGGGGGCTTAAGCTCAGCTGGTGTATTGCTACTTCCCATAGGTGTATGAGCATGTGGACCTTTGCTTGCAGAGCACTCTGTATACTGGCACTGTGCAGTACCAGGTAATGCAGCTGAATGACCACAGTAAGTAGACAATCATAGAGCTCTGGCAGGACTTTATGGCTGAATTAAGGCCGAGTGCATACGGCCAAGGGCGCAGGCCGAGGCCCGCGGCCGTGCGCACGAGGCCTTGATGAAGGCGGAAAGTCCTGCCAGAACTCTATGATCGTGTTTCAGGTTTCCACTCACAAGCTACAAGTAGTTACATCCTTTGAGCCGCGTAGATGGTATAGATGGTATTATTATAAGCGCGATACCACGTAGGGGTGGAAGTCGGGGACGTGGTGGCTAGACCTGTTGCCTTTTGATCTTATCAATTTTCGCCTACATCAGTACATGAAGGCCTCGTGCGTACTGCGCTACGCGCCTTGGCCTGCGCCCGTGCCTTGGGCCAAGGCTTGGGCCTGGCCGTACTCTCATCGGAGTCATGGTCATGTTTTCACTGGAATCCTTTGAAACTGTATATAAGCGCGACACCACCTAGGGGTGGAGGTCGGGGACGTGGTGGCCGGATCTCTTGCCATTTTTAAAAAAAATAATTCACTCCTGCGCCCTTGGCCTTCATAAAGGCTCAGGTTAACATTGTCGTCCTTTGATGCTCGTACTCGTAGACTGTATATACGCGCGATACCACCTAGGGGTGGAGGTCGGGGACGTGGTGGTCAGATATGCTGCTTTTTTACTTTGCTGAAGAAGAAGAAAGTTTTGAATTGTTTTCAGGTTGTAGCTGTTTAGTTTTGTCACTCCTTTGCTGACACGCGTACAAACCTGTTGTCAACATTTACCGCCATTAGCTTGTGAAGAACTTTTTCCCATGCCTTACATCATAGTACTTGTATGTATATTCCATCAATGAACAGGACTGAGCGTGAGGTCATGTCTACAGGCATGCCCAATCTACATGTAGACCCGGTTTCAACCATGTACTCTACTCTCCTCCAAAGGTCATGAGATGAACTGAGATGGCAACGGAAAACTGACGCAGACCACTGCACTGTACAGCTAGGCTGACAGCGTGCGGGCCTTTATCGGCTCATCAAGGCCACCGCGGGAACGTCGCTCATTGGCTACAACCATAGAAACGGCACTGTAAAAACCTGAACTCTTTGTAAAGTACTGGCATCCTCATTGCATAACGATCTTCAGCAGTTGTGGTCCTATAGTACATGTACGGTTTTAAAAGAATGGGGTGGCTTGTCTACTGACAACTCCTCTACTCAGTTGCTACTCATTCGAATTCTCCGCCCAAGCGCTGCTGTTTAAAGGCCTATGGGATTGTGTTTGGCACTCCATTTTTTTATCTAGTGACTTGTGATGCTGCTAAGCAACAAACCACTGACTGCTAATCTGTGCCACTGCTCGTTCCACTATTTATGTAATGTAGGTATAGCCTTGATGAGGGTGAAACGTGGACCGAGCATCACTTCAGTACACAGAAGATCTACCCGTATGCACTGTTCACCGAGCCCGGCGAGAAGCAGATCATCTTCACCCTGTTTGGCTCTTATCCGCTGCATCATGAATGGCTGCTCGTCAAACTGAACTTCACGTCGTTGGTTGGTAAGCTTCACTGCTGCCGCCGCTGCTGCTGATGCTGCTGATGCTGCTGATGTCTTGTGAGGTCTGGTACACTCTGCGATAGCTACCAGGTGGTCATGATATTAAAACGGTTATTGCTTGTACAACTCGCCCTGTTTGCTTGTACTTAGCTCTGTCGTAGGCAGCAGGAAACGGTGCTTTGTTTATGTACCCCTTTGCTATCCTTTTCATGTGATGTGTGCCCCTTTGCAGTGCTGCCAAACCGTCCGATTTTTCGGACAGTGTCCGATTTTTGAAGGCTCGTCCGAAAACCGGTCCGAAAAGGGAAACGTCCGAAAACCAGCCAAAATGTCGGAGATCATTACTTTCCTATGCAGAAGTCCTGTACTTTCACTTTTCAGCGCAACTGAAGGCACAAATCACTGTACATTTGCTTCTAAAAAGGCTAGTGCTTGGCTGTGGAAGTGCAAAGTAACATGCCTGGATCAGGCTGGATGGCATGTAGGCTGACAGTCTGTACAGAGTCAGTGTGCGACCACACTCATCATTACAAAATTCATGACAACTCCGGGGTTACCATGGCAACGAAGCGAATTTTCATGGTGTTTTAGGCGATATTTTGAATTCTCTGTAAAAAAATTGCCGAGGAGAAAAATTCGCATCATTTGACCAGCCTTGGCGGTGAAGGGTGTCCTATTTTGGGCGAAAATTATTTGGCAGCACTGCCTTTGCCATCCTTTTCATGTGATGTTTAGGTCGTCCGTGTATAACTACTGACTTTGAAACGTGGACACCCAGTGATGAGCGTAAGGCTGACCACTGTTTGCTCGGTCTGAAGCTGGAGTTTGAACGGCGCAAGCCACACTCCAGCTGCACAGTGGGAAAGGACTACGAACGTAACGTCAAGTCATACGCGTGTCCGTGCGCTCGTCAGGACTTTGAATGGTGAGCTTGCATATAGCGACTCTGTAAATCAAAACGATAAGATTTTGACAGTTGTGTGTGTGTGTGTGTGTGTGTGTGTGTGTGTGTGTGTGTGTGTGTGTGTGTGTGTGTGTGTATATCATTATCTGTGTGTCTGTCTATGTGTCTGTGTGTTCATGTTTGTCCCTGTGTATACGTCGAGGTATATCACTGCAGATGTTGTTTGTGTGAATGTGCACTTGTTCATGGGAAAATATAAATATGTTATACCCCTATTAGGCCAAGTAAAAAAAAAAGCTAGATGATCGTCCCCGTCCGCCCCAGTTTTTGTCAGCGCCCCAAGAAATATTTTATTTTTTAAATCGTGAGTTTTACTATATGGACCACATACTACTAGTATATCACAACGTCAGTATCGATCTGCTGAAGAAAGAAAAAGAAAAAAAGAAAAAAAAAGAAAAAAAGAGAAAAAAAACCTTGATGTTGTTGTGTACACTGTGTGCATGAGAGGGTAAAAAGTAAAAAAATAAAAATAAAATCCTCCCGCCCTCCCCGATTTTTCCAAAAAAAAGGACGATCATCTAGTAATTTTTTTTACTCGGCCTTATGCCCATTTTATGTACTTCAAAGTGTTTTCCCCGAGGTAGCTGGTGCCACACCATGAATGTACTGATACTGTCACCATTCTTCAGTTCATGTAATGCCTGAACCTTTCACACTATCCTCTTCAAGTGTATTCCCACTGGCCATTAATAGCCGCTTTGAATGTCCTTGCATTTGTTACCTGATGTTCTTTCAGTGACTTTGGGTACAAGCTTATGCCTGGCACGACGACCTGCCAGCGTTTCATTCCACAGCTGGTTGGTCCTCCGGCGGTCTGTGCCACGAAGTCTGTCTACAACAAGACCCAGGGGTAAGCAAGTGTTCACATAGTGCATTGTGTGCATAGTAGCACTGTATACAGTATCTTCTGGAATCAGGGCCGGTCCTTTATTACCGTCCGTGTGAAATAAGCCCCACATCATTTCACCGTCTTTTAGTGGATTTTTTCAAACTGGGTGTTAGGGCTCGCAAACTTCTAAGCGCCTCGGCTAGTATAGCCGAAGCTACGGTGCATGTACACGCAGTCGTGTACCTTCCCCAGTGCTTGTGTACACATCAGTTTTATTGCTGGTGTGATAGCTAAGTTTGCTGTATCGTATCATGCACCGCATGGGCTCGAGACCTTGACTTCAGCCTATAATTTTACTGCCTATGGGTGTTCAGTCTAGCTATAATGCTGTTAGATTGTTCCTATAGTTTGTACGAATGGTTGATCCCCCTCTTTTTCATGTTTCCTTGTTCTCATAGGTATCGGCGGATTGAAGGTGACTTGTGCTCTGGTGGTGACGCACTGGAGACGTATGCTCCCATTCCCACGCCATGTCCGCTGCAAGGTAGGATAAGTTTGCTGTGTGTATGTGTGTTATGTGCCCATACCTCTCCTCTAGTGATGCGATACAGATACACTGTGTGCACTGGACGAAGTGTGCGCACACATGATCCAACTGCAGCTGACACTACTTTCTGGGGGAGTAGAATGTTGAATACTGCAGCACCATTTCATCCCAGCCTCGTGCTTTCACAATTTGATGGCACTGAGAAAATGTGATACGAGTAATAATTATGCTGGAGCTGTTGTAATGAACAAAAGAGAGAAAGAAGTAATGCACGTGGCATGGAAGGAGAGGTGCCACATTTCACTTGTACCATTCGGGACATGCGAATAAGGTAAGGCCTAAGGAGTTGTGTGAACTAAAGTCTGCAGTTCACGGTCAAGTGCTACCTATAGGCTGAATTAGGGGCACGAGTGATTTGCACTATTTTTTACTGAGTCGTGGTCTTGGATTGAGGTGCCGATGCGCACATGTGCAGTGAGAGTCTGTGGGGCTTCTCTTCTTACATCTGTGATTGTTGTGCAGAAAATGTACCATTCCTGTTGGCTGTTCAACGGACCCGAGTGTTGAAGATATCGGCGAAGTATCCGACCCAAGCTCCTGAAGAGCTGTTCTTGACTGGGCTCAACAATGCCATCTCTCTGGATTTTCTCTGGGTAAGTCGAATACATAATATTAGTGATAGCTTGCATAGACCTCGGTCCTACCGGTAGGACCTACCGGTAGGACCATCATACACAGACAAGCTGCATGGCCTCTGTTCTAACATTGACCTAAAACTTGACCCTTAACTGTTGCTAAGGGGCTAATGAAGGAGTCCACAAATTTTAGACGTGATCGCACAAGGCATACTACGAAATTCCATGGTAACCGCCCATGGTAACCATGGAAACGGAGTATGGAATTATGCATTCCACTGCCTTGGCAAGCTAATAAAAACATTAGGACCTCACCACAATTGATGTGCCATGGTCAAAATTCACTTTGGACAGAGTTGCTAGCGCACCGACAGGATTATGTGCGGCCATTTTGACATTCGATAAAATTGCGCATGAGGAATGCACTGGACATAGCCTTGCATTTTGCGCCATTACTTTGCCTGACAAAGACCTCATCTCAAGATTTGTTTCAAGAAATTTCTCAACCAAAGGCACTTTTGCAGCTCGATTTCTTGGGTCCTACCGGTAGGACCTGTGGTCCTACCTGTAGGACGGTATGCAAGCTATCATTAGGGAATACGTAATGCTGTGGTAGGGATCGATTTACTTTGATTTTTTTGCATAGCAGTCACTGCTACACAGTTTTACAATTGACTAGCAACTCCCAGTATTGATTAGCAGTTTTCCTTCATCAAAAGTTTACATGTATAGCTGTACAATAGCAGGATTTCGTACAGAAGAGGACAATAGCTGCAGTTGCTATTTGCTTTTCCAAGCGAATGTTCGACCTGAATATTTACGTTAGAGTTTTCGCTTGGGCACGTTACATGTTCAGCGTCCATCCGACTTCGAGTTCTTCACAACACAATGTCCTTCAACAGGGCAGTTCCACTGATTCCTTCGACAAAGAAACCTCAGGAAAGCACTCAAACGATCGTGACATTTCGTGCAAAGCGCATCGACTGATTTCGCTTTTCTCTTTTTCTTCATCGAAACGAATCGACATTCCTGGCGCGTCCAGTTCTTTGTCTCTCTTCTGGACAGTGAATCACTGATCAGATTCACTGACATGTTGGCTACATGAGACTAAGAACCGTCTACTTCAACTGTGCCTTGTCGAACAGAAACAAACTGAGCTTGAAAGTGAAAGAAGAAAGGAGAACATCAGGAAAAGTCACCGCCGTGTCCAAAACTTCAGAAGACTGCAGTCGTGTACGACCAGTGCTAGTCCAGTGTCCAAAATCGAAAGAGCGCGACCCGCGCGCGGACTGAGCAGGAAAGGCCAGTTGGTTGGAGTAGTAAAATACTACTCCCTAGTCAGCAGTGTGTACAACAGTCGCATGTAGACTGCACACAACTGGTCTTTGTAGTGCATCGCAGTTTTGGGCGATAAAAAACGAAAAGCGAATCGCAGCCAGTGAATTTTGATTCGCAAACTGCGATGCGAACCCGGATGAATCGATCCCTGCTGTGGACAGCAAGCTGTTTTGGCTATAAAAGCCTCGTCAGTACAGCTACGAGCGTTAAGCAAGCCAAGCTACCAGCCATGGTGAAAAGGAGGCACCGCAGACATTTTAAGAGAGTTCATCACTCTAGTGCCAGAGTGCTCTAACTACGAAAAGTAGCGGGAAATGCGTAATGCAGCAGCACTAGAGTAGCCTACCGAGAGGAATTAGGGAATATTAGGAAATAAGTTTCCCTGATGATCGGGCAAGCGTGAAACTCTAGTTGCATTAAACATTCTGTTTCACCATACTTGTAAGGAAGATCTGCCCTTCCGTTCGGGACAATGAGCACTTTGTGTGCAGAGAGGACGTGACCTACTTTGTGAGTTCAAGCCATACAGGCAACACTGTGAAATCGCTGCTGAATCTGGTGAAGGCTAGTACCAGTACTTTTGAAGTCAGCGCGTGATATTGAGATCAAGTACAGCAGTGTTTATTAACTAAAGCCGGTGATGGTGAAAAAAAAGGCCTCACCAGACTCAGAAGTGGTCAAGTTGTAGGCATGGTTATTGGTGATCTGTAGTCATATGGACAGAAACTCATCTATCAACTATCAATCCAAAACATTATTGTGTTCCTGATTGACCGAAAGTGGTCTGCGTTTGTTCGTAGTGCTCGAGTAAACTGCCACCCAGATTTGCGCATGTAACCAAGAGTACATAACCCCCAGAGTGTGCAACGCCTGATCCAGCTCTGCATAGAGTCTTGGTCGAGCGTAATCGGATCTTCTGATGTCATGCGTACACTCCATACCAGCGCAAAGCCGGTCTCGACGCAGGGCACCATTGTTTTTGATCTGAGAGTACCCGCGACTCCCAGGGTTCCTCTCAGATGTGCACGGTATTATGACGCAAAGATCCGATTACGCTCGACCAAGACCCTATGCAGAGCTGGATCAGGCGTTGCACACTCTGGGGGGTTATGTACTCTTGATGTAACTTTACATGACTGCAGTATGTTATACCTGGGTTTGTGTGGCACGCAATGAGGCCATCTACATCCATGTCACAGAAATACAAAGTCACACACACACACACACACACACACACACACACACACACACACACACACACACACACACACACACAACATAATATGTTCGTGTGCACAGATACTGAATTAGTGGACGTCGTCATCTTCTTCCCGCTGGTCTCAAATGTACTATGATGCACTCTTTCGCCTGACGACAGAGGGAAAAAGAACGGGCTGTGATCTGTACTAGCTTCACAATGCTCTGGTACATGTACACTGTGCGTTGTTTCTATAGGACAAGAAGGAGCTGTTCCTGACAGACGTACGGCACGACTGGGTACGACGTATCTATCTTGACGGGACTGGCCGCCAGGCTGCTATACAAAACACAACTATCAGCTCGCCAGAAGGTAAGTCTACCTTCTGGAATAGCGTAGCTTGATGAAATGTGCTGGGAGCCAGCCAGCACAATCTATAGGACAATTGCTCAGCACTAATATCTGCATGGCGCTGTATTGGATTGCCAAGCAAGATGTTGGCCCATGTCTCATATAATTATTGTACCAGTGCTACAGTATGTACTGGTACCGCTGCCTACAGTGCAGGTCAACACTCACACTCAATAGTCAATACATTCTGGAGGTTTGGTCTTACTGTGCTATTGTGATGTCGATGTTCCTTCCTCTGCCCATGCTGTGTGTTATCTTCTGCCCATGCTGTGTGTTATCTTCTGCCCATGAAGGTGTTGCCGTTGATTGGATTAGTCAGAACGTATACTGGACTGACACTGGAGAGGATTTGATCTCAGTGTCGCGCCTAGACGGAACCAAACGCCGTGTGCTTGTTGAGGAAGGCCTGGACGAGCCCCGAGCTATCGTGCTAGATCCTATCAAAGGGTATGTTTGATGAGTTAGCAGCAACATCATTGAGATACTGTTTTCTACATCATTGCAAACCCTCTAGACAGCTGTTACATTTAAACAGAGCTCGTCGGTCACGGGAGGTAGTAGATAATGGATGATTTGGGGAAATGAATGATGTTGTGTGTTGTGCAAAACTGGCACAACTGTTGCTGCACACTTTCTACATAGAAGTGTGACTGGCATGCCCTAGGAAACTGAGGTGCTAGGTGATAACAGACAGTTCTAACAGGGGTGATAATGCAAGCATGCATGGCTGGGACATGACATGCAACGCTAGAATTAGTGTCTGACCTTGTCACATCACTGGGACCAGTACAACATTCAACCAGTTACCCGCTCTCTGAATATTTCGTACCCCGCCATGTGTAGCTACTAGTAGGACCTCTCACTTCAGTTGATTGCCTTTTCTGCACCATATCTAGTGTTGCATGCCATGTCCCAGCAATGCATGTGTGCAGTATCACCTCTGTTAGAGCTATTGTCATCCAACACCTCGGTTTCATAGGGCATGTCAGTCACACTTCTATGTAGAAAGTGTGCAGCAAAAGTTGTGCCAGTTGTGCCAGTTTTGCTCAACATATTGGTAACATCATTCCTTAGTCATGCATTATCTACTATTTCCACTGATGAGCTCCGTTGGAGTGAAACAGCTGTCTGGAGGGTCTGCAATATCTATAACTTAACGGAATTCTCCTCACTATGGTGGTTATGTGCAAGTGGATTGGAGCTGCCGGGAGCGCATTGTCGAGTGGTGGTGTGACTGATATAATACACGCATTAGCTGAGTTTGTCGCCAATTTCTCTTGTCAGCTATATGTTACGAGGTATCTTCATGTACTGGTACTCGTATGTCACTGGATGGATGTCAACTGTAACTGATCTTGTTGTGCAGGTATATGTACTGGACAGACTGGGGCAACTCACCAGGCATCTACTCGGCATGGATGGATGGCACGCACATCAAGAACCTGGTGAACTCTACCATCCGCTGGCCCAATGGTCTAGCGCTGGACCGCAATAGCTCTGAGCTGTACTGGACAGACGGTGGTATTGATCGCATTGAAGCAATGATGACCGATGGAACAGGCCGACGTGCGGTGGTCACTACTGGTCTGGGACATACGTTTGGTAAGCAGCTGCTACTAAGCACTATGTTGGGTTGGACTGTTGCACTCAGCATGTCGACAAGTGACTGTGTAGTATGGCTACTTCATAACACGGAATTTGTATACACATAGTACGAGTACACCGTAGCCGGAATGCCTGGATGTAACTACAAGTATGTGCGTTGAGAGTCTTGAGTGCTGAGAGTATATGGGTTACAACTGGTCAGTCAAAGTTCTTATCATTTGCTCTGTGTGCTAACTGCCTGGCCACTGCATACGGGGCAAGTATGTACAAGTGCAATCAAACTCCATAAGGTGCTGGCACTGATGAAGGAAAAGTGCTTGGTTGGTGTTTGCCTTATTTCAAAGGCTCTAACCCTAGGCTTGTAGCACTGGACCCCTACTCCTAACAGTCAACCCCTTCCCATTATTGAGCAATGGTCCACGTATATGTAGTACCATGTAACAAATTCTCCAGTTCATGAGCTGTACTACTATCTGCACATCCTTATTGTCAGACGTAACATTGTGATCATTTGCGACTGTTTGTGTCTTTATCCTGCAGGTATTACGGTGTTTGGATCCCATGTCTTCTGGACAGATTGGCAGCAACGTGCTGTATTCTCTGCTGACAAGAACACTGGCGCAAACATGCGCACTGTGCAGACCGGTCTTGGCGGACTGATGGATATCCATGCATTCTATCCAGGACTACAAACTGGTGAGCGCTGTGTGCTGCCATGTAGTACACATTTTCTGCACCGTCAGTTTAGTTTCCAATGCTCTAGTAGAAGCAAGACGGTCCGGCTGAAGTGGTGCAGTATCATGATCCGCATGTGCTAGTGGTCATGAACTGATAGAGGTAACTTTCCACCTGTGATGCACATGTAATTTTCTCCCAAGAGTGTAGATGTCCAAGCATGCACTATCTAGACTTTGCTAGCTGTGTTAGCTGCTCTGGGCACACCTGTTACAGCTGCAAACATGTTAGACCTCTAGTAGTATGGGGAGGTCCAATAGCTTGTGAGGATTTGAACGTGCTATTTTTGTACAGTTCCAACCCCTGTATGGCATGGGTTGTTGCAGTTCCAGCCCCTGTATCATTTGTTGCATGCTTGTTGTGCTTGCAGGTAGCAATGCCTGTGCAAGGAACAATGGCGGTTGCTCAGACCTGTGTTTGCCAATTCCGGTGCCAAGTGCTGACGGTTCGAAACGTGTCTGCCAGTGCCCAAATGGTCTTATTCCCGACCCAGCAACATCCAAGTGTGTCAGTGAGTTCTGCCAAATCATCACCGCATGCTGTCTGGTGACCTTTTCTTTTTGTAGCTGCTGGTTCTGTGTGGTCTTCTAAGTTAGTTCTTATATCTTGTGCATGCCGTATTCACGGCATGCGTTTATGATCATGTGGCCTGGCACAAGCAAAGCTTCCTAAGCTGGTTGTGTTTCTCAATACAATTGTATAGCCACGGCCCAGTTGTAACATGGACGTGCGAACTTTACTTCTTTTTACTTGCAGTTGACAGCACATGTCCCAGCAAACCAAACTACTTCACCTGCCAGAACAAGTATTGCATTGTCAAGGAGGAAGTGTGTGATCATGAGGATGACTGCGGGGATGGATCGGATGAACTTCCAGCTCCAGCAGACACTAACTGCTGTGAGTAGGAGGATAGATAATGAGCATTTCTCGTATTGGTAGCTGGTACTTGTGGTAACGTATATTGATATGCATCAGACTCGCTCTTCATTTGTTCTTAGCGCTTTCCAAAATAGTGTGATAGCTTAGTATTTTCAGCTACTAAACTTGATGCAACCCATCCATGGTGATGGCCAATTTACCAATTTACCTGGATCTGTGTATCTGCTAAGCAAATCTACCAGCTTGGCTAGCTTTGGCTTGTATGTACGAGTCGTAGTGCATGTACTGTGTACCCATGCATCACGACATTCGGACATTGTGTAAATAGTATAGTAGTACCGTGTGTTGGTTGAGTGGAGGAAATCCCGAAAGCACTAATGCAACCTTACCTGTTAGCCTGTTAGGCATACTCTTGATTCAGTGTGCACATACTTATGTACCCTAACACTAGTAACAGCTTTAATTCCCGTAGCTATGCAGAAGACGTTACTTCAGTAACGTCTGGCGCTAGCCAGGGTCCACACAGCTTTAATTCCCGTAGCTATGCAGAAGACGTTACTTCAGTAACGTCTGGCGCTAGCCAGGGTCCACACAGCTTTAATTTGGTATTTGTTTGTTTGTGTGTTTGTTTGTTTGTTTGTTTGTTTGTGTCACGCCTGGCGCTATCCCGTATCTGTCCCGTATCTGTCCTGTATCTGTGACTACAAAGGCTCTACAGGATTGTACATAACAGCTGTCCACAATATTTGCGGGCTCCTGTATCTGTCCCGTACCGTACCAATATTTGTCGTATTATGTACACGACTCCCTGATGTAGAGGGAGATTTGGAAAGAAATAGGAAGACGAGGAGGAAATTAAATTAGAATAGACGCCGAATAGGTGATAGGATGCGTCAGCATAAATAGCGTCAGCATAAACATACATGTACTTTGGAAGAGAGATCGTATCGTCTCCAAAATAAGCGTGAACGAGCGATTCAGCGCCGGTCACAGGAAACGTCGGAAGAGAGATCCCGTCGACTCCAGAACCCCCGTGATCGGCAGAGTCCGCCGCTCCCAGGCAACGTCAGGACAGACATCCCGTTGAGTCCAGAACGCCCGTGATCGGCAGAGTCTAAGCCGGTCCCAGGAAACGTCAGGACAGACATCCCGTTGAGTCCAGAACGCCCGTGATCGGCAGAGTCAGCGCCGGTCCCAGTGAACGTCAGGACAAACATCCCGTCGACGCGCAGAAAAACTAAATCTGCAGCCTCTTTTGCCGTCGGACAGGATACGTATTATAGGAGACTGTAAAGTTATGTAATGTCCAAATTTCCACGTGAGCAGCAGGTCACTCGCGTTGATTCTTCGACGTGCGAGCCAAATAACGCGAGCTGAACTTTCGCGTCGCAGACATCCGGTCGACGCGCAGAAAAACTAAATCTGCAGACTCTTTTGCCGTCGGACAGGATACGTATTTTAGGAGACTGCTAAGTTATGTAATGTGCTCCACAGGCAACCAATGCATTCGGCGTCGTCATTGGCTCAACAGGTCAATGTACATGTATTACTACAAAAAGGCCAGAAAATCCGATTACTGTATTAAAATCAACTAATTTTCGCTGGCGATTTAATTTCGCTGATTTCGCCGCTTGGTACCAACCGGCCAAAGTAAATCGCAGGCCACAGTTTGTCATATAGGCAAATGATGCATGATTGAGCAATGGATGCATGTGAGAGCAAAAATACCGATCGATTTCAAATTTGACGTGAAATTGCGCGTCACGTCGGAAACGAGAGAGCTTGGAAGCTCAGGGCCCTACGCTATGCTTTTTTGCTTGCTCATCATGCATGTTTTTGCAATACAATGATGTGGCCAATCAACGGAAAAAAACATTTCCATCAGTTCTTATAACATGTACGATGAGCTAGGCAAAAAAGCATAGCGTAGGGCCCTGAGCTTCCAAGCTCTCTCGTTATTATGGTATCGGCTCTGTTTTCATTCCTGTGTCCTTTGTATCAGTCTACATGTGGGTGCATTGGATTGACCGTGATAACGTTGTCATTATGATGTACTTTCCATCACACTTGCAGCTGTTACCTGTCCGTCAAGTCAATTTCGCTGTGCCAGCGATGGTCGCTGTGTTTCCTCCCGATGGCGATGTGATCATGTACAGGACTGCGTCGACAACTCGGATGAAATGGGATGCTGTGAGGACGCTTGCTTACAGCTTCATTGCTTTCAGCCATGCTAAATACCTGTACTGGCGCACTATACGCTTACAGCTTCATTGCTTTCAGCCATGCTAAATACCTGTACCACTGCACTGTGCTGTGAAATGGCACTGCATGCTGTATTGTACTGAAGTAATTGACGATGAGCTTAGTGTACAGCACCTGCATGTAGTTGCTTTGTATCATGACACTTGGTGCTTGTATTGAATGTTCAAGGCAAGCTGTCTGCCACACTGCTTGTATTGAATGTTCGTGGCAAGCTGTCTGCCACACTGCTTGTATTCAACGTTCATGACAAGCTGTCTGCCACACTGCATGCCTTGAAGTGTGCGTTGCCATTTGTGAGAAATTGTATGTCACTCCTGATCTGGCATTGGAAAAATCGACACCCGGAATTTGTCTGCTGAAATGTGTTGATGTTTTCATCCCCTTACACCGTCACGTTTCATGTGCAGCATTCGGAACTTGTTATTCAAGTTTCCAGCACACGTGTGACAACGGCAAGTGTATTCTGAAGTTCTTTGTTTGCGATGGAGATGATGACTGTGGCGATCGATCTGACGAGAGCAATTGTGGTAAGTTTGCATGTAGTTTGTTGAGTCAACTTGCTCACGCCTGAGTTTAACTGAATATACTATGACATGTACTGAACGTGTCAGTGGTGCAGTGTACGTTGAAGTCCAGTGTGGTGGCAAGGGCTGGTGGTGTCCAGAGGTGCACCAGTATGTATTTCTGCAGTGTAACAGTGTCCACTGCCTCAGACAGAATGCACTGGCTCAACGTTGTCGACAGGTGCATGACCCTCATTTGATTTTTCATATGAGCTATATGCGTACTGTAATTTAACAGTGTCCATTCTTCAGACTTGTTATAATTATGGGAGTGGTGCATGTTGCGTCCTGTTCTTGCAGCAAATCACAACTGCTCCTCCAGCCAGTTCAAGTGCGCCAACTCCTACCTGTGCATATCTCGCTCTTGGCTGTGCGATGGTGACAATGACTGTGGAGACTTCTCCGATGAGCGGAACTGTGCAGGTGCGTTGCTCGCTTTCTTCTTCCCAATTGCATGCATACTTGTACCCACACACGGTTTGACATTATGACAAGAGGATTTCCGGTGCCATGTGTGAAGAAGACTGGTGGTAGTGTTTGGCAAATTGACTTTTAACTCTTTGCAAAGTTGCTGGAAAGTAATCTGAGCCGTCCACTCATGATGACATGGCACCTAGTCCAAGCAGGCTGATGGAGAGTAACTTGAGTGCCATGACATGGCACCTGGTCCAAGCAGGCTGCGACAGAAGAAATGTGCTCTTTTCAGTCACAGGTGTGCACGTGATTGGCTATAGAGCGTGACTTGGAGTAGGGTTATGGTCTTATGGAGTACACGAGTGGGATTGTGCTACAGTAGAGGTCCGGCAGGTCACTGGTATGAATGTCGCATCCCTGGCTCTCAGTGACCGGACCCCGAAGTCACTACGAGCGGCGACTGAATAGACGTGTGGCCTCACGACAAGCCCAACACAACCCAGGGGCCAACCAGTATAGTTGACTTGGTCCAAGTTCAACCCCACACGATCAACAGACAAGGATTGTTAGTTTTACGTTGTTAGTAGTCATTCAAATCCGAGCTCAAAGTAAACCAAGACAGAGAGCTGAGACCGAGTCTCGACTGCTAGACTAGACTAGACTAGACTAGACTAGACTGAAGTAAGAGAGAGAATGAGAGCTTCTTTTATAGCGCAATTTAGAGATATGGCGTGATCATTGCCTAGAATGGTACGAGGTATTTCCAGGAACTACTAGAACAGGTAAAACTGGAATATGAGCAGCCAGTCAGCAGAAAAGAAAGACATGGAAAAGAAAGACCAAATTGGGATGTGGGGAGCCCGCTCACCCACGTCAGAGTACAATGTGAGTATATGAGGGTCACGTTGAGGAGCCCGCTCACCCAACGTGCCATAGTTCAGCGGCTTCTTATGGTAAGTTCTGCTGCATTCTTGGTCTTGCTTGGTAAGTTCTGCTGCATTCTTGGTCTTGCTTGCTTGATACTCTGACCTCTCTTGCGGTCACTGCGGTGACGGGTTTGGTTCTTGCACACGTCTTGGCTCTGCACTCTTTGCACTTAGCTCGGTTGGTTAGTCTTGGCTCTTTGCACAAAGCACCGAGGCATCGTGGAAACCTGTAGAACGTCGTAGTGACTTGGTTTTGCACAAAGCCTGGAGTCACATTTCCAGGAAGTGAAGCACTTCCAGGAAACGTACAACGCGAGAACCTACCTGACCAGGTTCCAGCCTTGGATCACATGATGTGTCATGCCAAGAAGGCATGTCACCTACGTGGGGAAGCGCGTGTCGCTCAACCTACATGCTAAGCACGTGGGACAAGACACTGGCCAAACCACATTGTACCAAAAGGGTTTGATAGCTCAGCACAGAGCTGCTCACTATGTAGATCCTGCTGTCACAGGACGTGACATGAGCAATGTTCATTGCAATGGCCTCATCCAACGATTGCAATGCAGGGGCATGCCAAGTTGAGCTTTGTCAGTTGAAGGTTCAGATGAGAAAGATACCGTATTTTCCGGAGTATAAGCCGCACTTTGAACACTCAAATTTCACCCCGAAGGGGGGGGGGGGGTGCGGCTTATACTCCGATGATCAAATTAACGGTTATACATAGGGTAGATGTCTGTATTTCGTGGCAAAAAATGGGGGGGGGGGTGCGCCTTATGCTCCAGTGTGGCTTATACTCCGGAAAATACGGTAGGTACATGAAATGTGTACTTATGATGGGACCGTGTCTTTGCTGTGCTTATCCCCGTGCCCGTGCAGTGTGATCATACTCCCATCCTTGCTGTTGGTTTTTGCAATGCAGCTCCTACAACTCCGCCGCCAGCAACTGCCACAAGCTTGTGTGCTGCCAATGAACACCAGTGTAACATTACTGCTAGATGCATTCCCAACTCCTGGGTGTGCGATGGTTACAACGACTGTGCATACGCAGATGATGAACCCAGCACATGCAGTGAGTTGAGCCGGTGTACCCCTCAATGCAGTGGCTTTATAACCTAGCATGCTACCCTGGTGAACCTGGTGTGTCTTTACCGTTCATTTGAAGATGAGATCACGCTTCATTATAGAGCTATATCTATTTTCTGATTGTATATTTGTACACAGGAATGGTTGGCCCTTTCCTGTTGTCCTCTATTACTAATGTCTTCTCTTACTTGTGTGTTGATGCAGCGTTTAACTGCTCTGTGAATCAGTTTACCTGCACCGGAAATGGACATTGTATTCCAGCAGCTTGGCAGTGCGACGGGGATAATGATTGCCATGATTTGGGTGTGCATGGTACAAATGGCTCTGATGAACAACACTGCGGTAAGTGTGTTGATTGATGGATCGTGCGGTGGCTCAAGTAATGGCGGTGCCGGCCCATTCACTTTACCCTTGTCCGTCCGTCCTTCTGTTTTTCTGTCTGTCTGCCTGTCTGTCTATCTGCCAATCTGTCTGTCTGTCTGTTTGTCTGTCTACCTTTCTCTGTATACCTGCCTCTCTACTACCTGCCTCTCTACTACCTCTCTACCTGGCTGGAGGCATGTGGTGTTGTTGCTGTTGTCGTTGTCGTCATCGTCACCACTGTAGTCGTCGTTTTGGATTTGATTTGGTCACTCATTTTTCTTAACCAATGCCCACTGAAAAGATTCTAGCAGCTTGCGGTATCATGTGTTCGTCTGTGTTTCTAATCTCAGACACTCATCAGTGTTCAAGCTTTCAGTTCCGATGCGCCAATGGGCGTTGCATCTCAAGATCGTGGCATTGTGATGGCGACAACGATTGCGGAGACCTTTCAGATGAGCAGAACTGTCCGACTACTGGAGGTAAACAGATAAAAAACACTTCAGTTCAGCCAATAATTACTAGTACAGGTGGAATCCTGATAATTTGAACCTCAAAATGCCAGGAAAAAACTTCTAATTATCCGGACATTCTAATTATCCAAACATGAACCCACAACACAATAATGTATGTCAAAATGCTCTCATGGTCACGCAGAGTTGCGCTATGGACCTTAGACACAGATACTGAACTGACCGGCACAGCCTGCTCATGCAAGCTGAACTGACCAGTACAATGTACAGTGAACTTCGAATTACACTTTGCTACCTTCAAATTATCAGCACAAATCCCACACGTTTTCTATGTAAGTGGAATCTGTGGGACTTCTAATTAACCGGACATATCCAGTTCGAGGTTCGAATTATCAGAAATGTTTATATGGGAATCGTATTGATATAATCGGTCCTGGAAAAACTTCTAATTAAGCGGTATGTTTGAATTAAGCCATATTCGAATTATCAGGATTCCACCTGTATTGGATAAGGAGAGAGCAAGACCAACTGTGGCAGAGTGAAACATATAGAAGAGACAGAGAAAGGTGAACAGAAGGGCAAAGAATTCAAGGAAGTAACAAAGCTGCGTGGGCAATTTACCAGGACAGTGTCCTGTTGCTGAATTTGTGAGTATAATAATGGACTGTGGGGTGCTGGAAGGTTGTGTGAGAATGTGGGGGGGGGGGGGGGGGGGTTCTATGGCCCCATGCTGGGCTTGCCTCAAATTGGGTAAGTTAAAGCTAAGTGGGAGAGTCTGACTCGATAAAGAACGGTTCCTTTTCGTTTTTTGTGCTGCCTGTCTGGCGATGTGCGTGTTTCCTTCAGTTCCCCATGTTACTGCACCCACAGCACCCACTTCATGCGTAGGCTCTTCGACCTACTTCCAATGTGCTAACGGACAGTGTATACTCAGGCACTTGCAGTGCGATGGCACATCGGATTGCCTCGATGGCAGTGATGAGCGCGGCTGTGGTGAGTCACATGATTTGCAGGAACTGTACAACACGCGTATGAAAACAACAGTACTGTTGCCAGCTCACTTTTGCCAAGGTTTTGGGCTGGCAAATCAGTGTGTCGATACTGTTTTCCTGGCTTAGACCAAACTGTCACTGATCATTTTGACACTGCACTAGCCGAGGAAGCAAACTGTTCCATTATGTATCCTTCTATTGGCTAAAAACCATACATGGCCTGTAGGACTCCATTCTGTTTTGAAGAATATTGTTTATGACACCACATTCTTGTGCTTTTTTCATTCATTTCCATGGTGATCATCCCAGTGCAAACTACAGTTGGCCCACACACAGTCTGCCCCCGTGGTACTGTTCGGTGCGATAACACATCATCGGGTGGTCACTGTATCCACACGTCCTGGATTTGCGACAAGGTTGTCGATTGTAGTGATGGATCCGACGAGCAGGGCTGCACAACAGGCACTTGCCTGGCATCGTACTTCACGTGCAAATCCGGCCGCTGCATCAGCCGCAGTCTTGCCTGCAATGGGTATAACGACTGCGGTGACAACTCGGACGAGAACTTCTGTTACTCGTCTGCAGCCACAGGTACTCAGTGCCATGATATGTGTACAGTACTGCATACGGGTGTGTTCTTTTCTCACCGATGGTCATGCCATGTGTGTGCATGTGTAGGATGTTGAGGGTGCCCACTAGGATGTTGGACTGTTTCTAATCAGGTGATGCTCTCGTCCTGAAATATAGCCAGTGCTCTGTATTGCATGTACTGGAAATAGCCATGCAAGCAGCAAAGCCATGACCTATATCTCCTCAGCACAGTACTTTTTAAGTCATCGTACATGTAATGGGAAATCATCTTCTCAGCTGTGCGTGTGTGTGTGTGTGTGTGCGTGTGCGTGTGTGTGTGTGCGTGTGCGTGTGTGCGTGTGTGTGTACCTGTCTGTGCACGTGCATGTGTTGTGTATTCAGTGGCTCCTCCTCAGTGTCCCACAGGCAGTGTACCCTGTCGAACCGGCAACCAGTGCTATCTGGCAACACGGCGTTGTGACAACACATATGACTGCACTGACCAGTCTGATGAGCAAGGCTGTGGAGGTGAGCGGCTGAAGGAAAGATATCATTGTCCCGAAGACTGTCCTGATGTATACAAGAGCAGGCAACTGTTTCATGCCAATTGCTCTCAGTAGCATCCATCGAGGAGAGATATTATGGCTGGCTACCTGAAGATATTATGGCTGGCTACCTGAAGTAGCATCCATCGAGGAGAGATATTATGGCTGGCTACCTGAAGTCTGACAGTCAATTTACTTGTTCTTAGAGTGTTTGGCTTCGTTTTCAGCTTCCCACCAGATCTTCCCACCAGATCTTCCCACCAGATCTTTCCACCAGATCTTCCCACCAGATCTTTCCAGCAGACCAGGCTGACGAGAAGATTTACGCACTGCTTTCTTTTCTGTTCATGGACACGTGTAATTTTGATCAGCATCTCACAAACTATCATATCGTGTTCAGCAACAGTCTCTAATATTGCCTAGAACTAACTTGGTCTACTGCAGTGCAGTGTGTTCTTAGGCGACCCAGACTCCTCAAAGATGCTATTCCCTTCTTCATTTATTTTCCTTGCAGCTGCCACAACAGCACCGCCAGCACCTTGTCCAGCTAGTCAGTTCACCTGCACCAAACAACACCAGTGTGTCGCTGTGCAGCATGTATGTGATGGTCTGGCCGACTGCTTGGATAGGACGGATGAGGACGCCACGTTCTGTGCCACCTGGACCGGTATGCGTTCAGTGTATATGTGTGTGGTGTGTGTTCTGTGTTTTAGCATGGCAGTTGAATTGTGTTGGTTGTGTACACGGAACCATGGCTCACTTCAAAAATGTCTTTCAACTGGTCCATCAAGAGACATGGGCTGCAAGAGCCTGCAGAGAGCTACAGTGACTGTGCTAATGATGGGATATTGTCTTTGTGCAGGCGCACCCACAACCCCAGCACCGTGCTCAAGTGACACGCACTTCCAGTGCCTCAATAAGCAGTGTATTCCTGCAACCAGCCAGTGTAATTTAGTGCCGGACTGCAGCGATCGATCCGACGAACGAAAGTGCAGTAAGATCAGCACCAGTACACATTCCATATCATCGTATGCATGTTGTGTGAATATAAGGGCACACGTTCCATCGACACATTGTGTCTTGTCCCTGGCATTTCATGTTCATGCGGATGCCGCTAACGCTTTAGCAGTAATGACCACAGCAATCCATACTTGAGTGAGTGTGGCTCGAGTAGAACAAAGTGACTTGGTTTATTTTCCATGTGCTCTGCCCTAAACGCAATGTTGGACCGACTATCTAATGAAAGGGTTTTATGTCGTAGAGGTAGGTTATGTCCCTTGGGGCTCAGCCAAAAGCCTGCAGATCGCCAACCACTGCTACTATCAGTCTATCAGTCGTGTGATCCTGTACACGGTGTGATGTGCTTAATAACAGTACAGTCGTGTACTACATTAAATATGTACATGTAGCAAATTGCTACCAATGCAGTGCATGTAGATCACCTTGATATCATTACAGATGGAAGTAGAATCGGAACCCTTCAACTTTTTGCGTGCGTGTGCACGGTTGGGCTGCTGCTGCCACTATCATTGTCATTGCGAATCATCTTCATGCACTGCTGTTGCTTGTGTTGGCGTTCTGTTGCAGCCATACTGAGTGCCAAAGCACTGCGTACTGGTGCAGTGAATCAGATCAAGCTCACCTGGCCACAGGAATCCACAGTGTCTGGTATCTCTGGCTTCAATGTCATGAGACTGTAAGCCTATGTACGACGTACAGTAGACTGCAATGTTGCTGTGTATGTGTGCATGCATGTGGGGATGCATGTGCAGGGGCGTCGGACACGGTACGGTCACTACGGTATTGACCATACCACTTTTTGCCCCAGGTACCCCGTGAATCAATAAAATACACTGATCTAGGCTCTAAATTTCCAAAATTTTCGGGTCAGCAACCCCTCCCCCACGAGTAAATTGTGCCTCAGATGGCTGACCGTACCACACTAAAATGCCTTCCGACGCCCCTGATGTGGATGCGTGATATGCGACAACTGTGACTGACAGTTCTGCAGCTGATATCCTTTATTTGTATGACTGTGTGGATATGAAGGTGAAATGTGTCACGAGCATAGGCCAACTGGCTGAGGGCATGCCTGGGAGCCAGATGATTCCGTCGAGTTTTGACTAAAGCAGTGCATTACTACTTTGCAACGCTTTACTGCTGTACTGTGCTGGCACTGCTGTGCAGAGCTGATACGAGACAGGTAGAGTCATAGTTGGGGACGATTTTGAATATACCCCGGGTTACACTCCTCCACGTGGCATATGTGTAGTGGTTGAGCTGCTGTGTGCTGTGCACTGTTTGTTGTGTGCTATCTGCCGTGTGTTGTGTGCTGTGTTGTGTGCTGTGTTTCGTGTGCTGTGTGTTGTGTGCTGTGTGTCGTGTGCTGTGTGCTGTGTGCTGTGTGTTGTTGTTGTGCACCGTGCATTGTGTGTTTTGTGCTGTGTGCAGGCAAATCGGTTCGGGTTACAAGAAGATTGGCTATGTAGCCCTGCCTGTCACCACCTACGTGGACCAGGCATCGCTGGCACCGTCCACCAAGTACTATTATCGCATTGTATCGGACAGCAACTCCACTGCACAGCCAGCGTCATACGTTGCTTCAGTTACTACTTTAGACAACCGTAAGCCGGCTCGACTCGACTCTCTTATAAGTCACTAACATGGCAGGAGCGATGTGTTACGGTGTATGAACGTGATCACTTCACTTCAGTGTCTGCTGGCTACCGGTATTTAGAGAGTGCATTCTATGCAGACGAGAGTACACTCTTTGCAGGGAGAGTAGTACTCAGAGTACATTCTTCGCAGCAATCAGATATACATGAACTGATACATGTACGGAAGTGGTATGAATGCGGCTGGGCGTACACATGTACAAGTAAAGTGATGTAATCGGAAGTGATCCAGGGTACCAGTTTTGCCACTTTGGGTCAGATTTCAGTGAGCGCAACTGTAGTAAAGACTGTTATTCCCGTAGCTATGCAAAAGACGTTACTTCAGTAACGTCTGGCGCTAGCCAGGGTCCACACAGCTTTAATTTCGTGATTGTTTGTGCCACCGGCATGCCTGGCGCTATCCCGTACCTGTCCCGTACCGTATCATCAAAGACAGCTGGCCACAATATTCAAATAGGACTGTCAAATGCAAGATCATAACGTGAAGCAACTTGGAAGAATGAGTATGTATGCAAAATGTATCGGGGGGAATGCATGCAGGGCGATAGTGCGGGTTCGAATCCCAGGTTATGTCTTAAAAAATAGGAGAAATGAAAAATTTATAACATCCCTATGCTTTTTTGCCTAGGTCGTCAAGGTGGTAGATGGTGTCGTATTGCGGCCCTCGAATGCAAAAAGAAGTTTATTCCCGTAGCTATGCAGAAGACGTTACTTCAGTAACGTCTGGCGCTAGCCAGGGTCCACACAGCTTTAATTTGGTGTTTATTTGTTTGTTTGTTTGTGTCACGCCTGGCGCTATCCCGTATCTGTCCCGTACCGTACCATCAAAGACAGCTGGCCACAAACAGCTGGTCACGATATTCAAATAGGGCTTCCAAATGCAAGATCATAACGTGAAGCAACTTGGAAGAATGAGTATGAATGCGAAGTGTATCGGGGAATCATCCGAATGCATGTAGGGCGATAGTGCGGGTTCAAATCCCAGGTTATGCCTTGAAAAAAATTGGCGAAATGAAAATTTTATAACATCCCTATGCTTTTTTTTGCCTAGGTCATCAAGCAAAAAAAGCATAGCGTAGGGCCCTGAGCTTCCAAGCTCTCTCGTTTATTTCGCTCAGGGCCCTACGCTATGCTTTTTTGCCTAGCTCATCATGCATGTTATTCGAACAGATGGAAACTTTTTGCAATACAATGATGTAGCCGATCAGTTCATTGTGGTATGGTTGGGCATAGTAGCCGTCATGGTCGATGTAAAACACTATAAGACCGCAACGAAGTTGGGGCCAAAGATAAAGTTCCATCAGTTCTAATAACATGCATGATGAGCTAGGCAAAAACGCGTAGGGCCCTGAGCTTCCAAGCTCTCTCGTTGTTAAGACTAAAATCGATTACACTTGGCAATACTATCAAGCTCTGGACAGGCAGCATTGCACAAGTACTTTCACTGTCTTCTCCTGGACATGGCATGTGTACACAGTGTTTTGTTTTGTGCTCACTTGCTGTACAGCTCTGCCTCCTCCACAGTTTGCGACCGTCGTACGAACATCTGCGCAAGTTGCAAATCTAACCTGGGCCCCACCAGCGGGTGTTTCACAGCAGCTACAGTATACGGTACTGTTTGAAGCCCAATTCAAAATGCCTTGTACCTTTCCTTTGCCGTCTGTAGCCGTGTTAGCAGCTCTGTCATGCTGGTTTGCACATTGTAACGTGTGCCTATTGTTATGTAGAGTGTTTGTGGGTGCATCGGCTACATGCTAGGGCTTGTCACTTCAGTCGTCACTGCCAGGCAGTTCTTGATTTGACATTGCTAGTGCTTTGTTGAGTATCACCATTCCTGTGTGCTTTGGCTGGCTTCCTCTGCCAGGTCTATTTCGGTACTGGAAGCGTATGTGCGGCCCTGACTCAGTCCGTGAACACACCTCATTTGGCCGTCACCGTAGCTGGTCTCTCAGCTAATACGCAGTACAGCTTCCAGGTAAGACTGAGGAGCCACTTCCCAGCCCCCGTGCTCTCTTTCTATACAGCACTGCTCAATGAAATCCGGCCACATGAGTCAAGTTTGCGCCTTGCATGTGTTACTAGTATTGAAAGAAACTTGATTGTAGAAAATGTCTACTAAAAAGCCATGTTTACTGCAGAACAAGAACATGTCGTAACGGGCGAAAAGCTGAACAATTTCTTTAAAACTTTTCCATGTTAGCACACAGTGAGTTTTAAACGATGCTTGACTTGTCAAACCTGAAAGTGGTACCAAGAGTACATAACCAAGAGTGTGCAACTGCCTGCACAACCTCTATGCTGTGCTGCGACGGCAGAACTTCACATCACGTGACATGGTTCAAAAGGTTATGCTGGCAAACAGTGCAAAGTGACCACAAGAGAGTTGTACCCAAAGCTGGGCTGCGTACAACCCAGTATCTATCATGCACTAGAGTGCACGGGTTCATCACGTGATGTGAAGTTCTGCCGTCGCAGACCCCATAGCTGGAGTTGCACACTCTTGGGTTATGTACTCTTGGTGGTACCTATACCACACATACCAATGCAGTCAATCCTGAACCAGTCTTCTTTTTAACTACAAGCAGCGCTTGGTTGTTAAAACATACACTTTTTTTGCCTCGCTACACTTTCACGGCTGTATAGAGCCGACCAGATTCCAATTTGGCGGCATTCCACCTGCCTGGCATGAATTGCACAGAAGTCGCTATAGATTATTTAATTTGTTATGAACAGTTCCAACTGGTGTCTGCTTCCCGTGTGAATCGTATATTTGAGAAAACATGGATACAGTCGGTTCATGTATTTAAAAGATAAATGTTTGGTCCATGAGCCAAATCTCCAAATCAGCCGTTTTAGTGGCAACGACCGTTGCACTTTGAGACGGACAAATCGTTCTTCAGCACACCGCTTCAGGATGGTACAGGTCGTCCCCCGTTAATACGAGTCCGGTTAGTACATAAACCCCGTTAGTACATAAGAAATCTCAAGTCCCGGACGAAACGTGGTCACTTCCATACAAATTTTGCCGGTTAGTACATAATTCGTTAGTACATAACCCCCGTTAGTACATAACATTTCTTCGTACCCGCATGCCACCTACCTCAATAGTACATAGTCATAATCATTTGTTGGTCCTTTGGCCTTCCAGGAGAGGCACATCGTGTTCTAGTTTCTTCTGGCTCCGAAATCAGAGCGCACATCACAAACCGACAAAGCTGTTTTTTCCGAGTGAATGCGCGGGCGTCGCTGGGCATGTCTCACGTAAACTGTAGAATCTTCGCTGACTGTAACCGTTATAACATAATTTTTATGTTATATCGAGGGAATCAAGAATATGTCGCTGCCTAGTCATGGTAGCAAGAAACACTCAGAAAAGTTGAAAAAAGTGAAAAATTCTGGTACACAAGCAAGTTATGTACACTTTCGTTTAGTACATAAACCCCGTTAATACATAACAATTGTCAAGTCCCAGAGATATGTATTAGCGAGGGACGACCTGTATCCTCAAACTGTGGTGTCTCAGCTAGAGACGGGGTTCGGTTTATTCTATGATCGATTACATGGAGACTAGAAGAAGACCAACTACAATTGCAAGTAAATTATGTCAACGGAACAAGAACAAGGAGACACGTGTGTCAATACAAAAAGGCAGACGTACTAAAATGATCTGCGCATGGTGTGACGTCAATACAATAATAATGACGTAAGAAATGTCCATGGGTGTATCATCAGCACATACACTACATTCCCTCCCCTACATGTATAGTAGGGTTGCAAACGCGTATATACATTAAAATACACAAGAGAAAGTTAATGGATAAGCCGAGAGCACAATAATTCAGTAACCACGTGAGCAACAGATTATCAGAGCATTGAGGAGAATGTTTTAATCTCTCAGGCGAGCTGGCAGAACTCGAGTTCTTGCCGGGTTACGACGGGGCTCAGTTGGAGCCTGTGCCTGTGGCGGCTGGGTCTGCTGCGCTGCAGTAGTTGCTGGTACTGTTGCTTGCACAGGTGGAGGTGTTGGAATAGCAGCGGCTTCAACACTGGGTGGTGGCGGAACACAAGTCGGCGAATGAGTAGCGGGAAAACACAAACTGTGATCAGGCTCTGCCGGTGCTGCGACGGACGGCAACGGCGCTGCACTCATTGGTACGAATGACTGCGGAGCGGAAACGACTGACCGGAGCTGTTCCACATGGCGCCTCCATTGCTGGGCCAACTTCCACAGTATAGTGACGGGAGCCGTGTACCGCTTGCACGGTGCCCTGAATCCACGGGTGTGGTGCGTTGGTGCGGTAGTCACGTACCATGACTGTGTCATCCACAGCAAACGTGCGCTCACGGTTTGCTGACCTCGCACTACTCTGAGCTGCTTGTTTCTTGGCCACAGATTCCTGAACACTGGGCTGGACCAAAGACAACCGAGTGCGTAGCTCACGATGCAGTAGCAAAGATGCTGGTGTGGCATTCGTTGTTGCATGTGGTGTGGTGCGATACGACAACAGGAAGCGAGGCAAGAACTCGAGCGGTGCTGTGTCCGAATGGGACTTGAGTGCCTGCTTCATCGCACGCACGAATCGTTCTGCCAACCCATTAGTGGCTGGGTGGTACGGTGCTGAGAAGGTGTGCGTAATGCCGTTGGCTTCAGTGAAACGACGGAACTCATCGGATGTGAATTGCGGGCCATTATCACTGACGATCTGGTCAGGCAAACCATGCTGGGCGAACACTTCCCGGAGACGGCGATCGGTGACTGGAGCAGTGGTGCTGTTCATTGGCAGAACTTCCGGCCACTTGCTGTGGGCATCCACCACGATCAGCCACATGTGCCCTTGGAACGGTCCTGCAAAATCAATGTGGAGGCGTTGCCATGGCTTGGACGGACACTCCCACTCCACTTGTTGGACGAGTCAAAACTGATCTAGGGAGGCCAAAGAAGAGGCCAAACATCCAACTTTGTTGGCACCTTCTAATCTTTGGCCACTTGTGTTTCACGCGCTGTTCGTTACTTACTTTTCATGAGAGGGCCTATTTGCCGGCTATGTGTATGCAATTTTCTTTTCTAGATTGAAGCTTTCAGCGCCCGTGCTGGACACGGAAAGCGAACAAGTTGCCTGTCATTCAAAACCCTTCGTACAGGTAAGCAAGCCTTGCAGTGTGCGGGTCATTCTCTACTGCTGGTATCCGCATTCCGGTGAAACTTCACCACCTAGACCCCTTGCCAGTTGACCTGACTATTATAAAGACACGTAACAATCACGGTTACCAAGCACGGTTGCCTTTTTACAGTACAAGCCGTGTGCCTCAGAGTCATCCGTAGCTAGGAAAGACACTGTAGCCACAGTGGACATGACATGCCATTTTCTTCAGCTGGGCTCACTGCACTCCCCCCCCCCCCCCCCCCCCCCCCATTCGGTACAACTCACAACCATTAACAATTTAACAGTAAGAGCTGCGGGTTATGATATTCCCTGATGTAGTTCGGCTGACTGCTACAAAAAGGAAGAGAATTTCAAGATCTGACTGTGCACCTGCAGGCAGGGTGCCCGATTGAACGAGGTGCCTGGGTATGGGAGGTTCAGATAAGAGAGGTTCCACTGTATTTGTGAACCTGTCCTTAGTGTGGTGTGGGTACAGGACTGAGAGGTGCATGAATTTATACAATGTAGCGGCCGCAACACTGATGATTAGTATGTCTGTCCATGGATAAGTATGCTCCCACACAGTGTAGTGAGACAAGTCACCATGGCAGCTCACAGTCACCATGACAACTCATGCACACGGTACCTTTGCACTGAACCTGTGTCTTCCATGCCGCAGCACCGAAGGATGCTCCGAGCGGCTTGCTTGCCACACCACTAACATGGAGCAGTGTGATGGTGCAGTGGATGGCACCGAAAGACCCCATCAGCACACACGTGGAATACGCCTCGGTATGTAGAGTCTCTGTGTCTGCTTGTCTACAGTTCCAGGTCTCAATGCCGCACTGTGAATTGCATTGTGGCCGTAAGAATTAGTCCCATGCGAGGGACAATCAGAAGTTCGAAACGCTTTGGCCTACACTTTAAGAACACCAGCCTATGTCAATCTGTTCCTTTTTGTGAGTTTTGCTGTAGTCCTGACTTTTGTTTTGTTGTGGTGTATAGTATAGCTGAGAGCTGTGTTAGGCTGTGCTAGGATGGAGGAGAGAACTCGTGCCTGCAATCACCTTGCTCGTGACTACTGTATCTAATTGTACACTTGGGATCTCTCTTTTGTGATATGCTCCCACCCCACCCTCCGCAATTTAGTAGGAGTGCAAAATAGCCGTGCCTTCTATTTGGGTGGGTGTGTGTGCATGTAAGCATACAGGTATGTGTACATGTGTGTGTGTGTGTGTGTGTGTGTGTGTGTGTGTGTGTGTGTGTGTGTGTGTGTGTGTATGCAAGCATACAGGTATGTGTACATGTGTGTGTGTGTGTGTGTGTGTGTGTGTGTGTGTGTGTGTGTGTGTGTGTGTGTGTGTGTGTATGCATGCATGCATACACGTATGTTCTATTACACTAGTATACCATCAGTTCATGGTACTTCCTAACCTAACAGGTGGAAGCATGGTACTTCCTAACCTAACAGGTGGAAGCATGGTACTTCCTAACCTAACAGGTGGAAGCATGGTACTTCCTAACCTAACAGGTGGAAGCATGGTACTTCCTAACCTAACAGGTGGAAGCATGGTACTTCCTAACCTAACAGGTGGAAGCATGGTACTTCCTAACCTAAGAGGTGGAAGCATGGTACTTCCTAACCTAACAGGTGGAAGCATGGTACTTCCTAACCTAACAGGTGGAAGCATGGTACTTCCTAACCTAACAGGTGGAAGCATGGTACTTCCTAACCTAACAGGTGGAAGCATGGTACTTCCTAACCTAACAGGTGGAAGCATGGTACTTCCTAACCTAACAGGTGGAAGCATGGTACTTCCTAACCTAACAGGTGGAAGCATGGTACTTCCTAACCTAACAGGTGGAAGCATGGTACTTCCTAACCTAACAGGTGGAAGCATGGTACTTCCTAACCTAACAGGTGGAAGCATGGTACTTCCTAACCTAACAGGTGGAAGCATGGTACTTCCTAACCTAACAGGTGGAAGCATGGTACTTCCTAACCTAACAGGTGGAAGCATGGTACTTCCTAACCTAACAGGTGGAAAAGAAAGACGTGCCGCGATGCTTCAACCCTGTGATCATGCTGATCCTCTCGGTAACTTTCTGTACTGCTATTGTCTTATCTCAAGAGAACACACCATGAAGAGCTAGTATGGTTATATGTGTTGATATGTGTTGTGTGCTGATTGGTTTCTTTATGCCCGTCCGCCACACATAGGGTTACATTGTTCAGCTCCAGGTAGCATCGAACGGTAAACTGGTGAACTCGCAGACTGTGAAACGCCTCAATGCCACATTCACACAGTTGCAAGGCTCCACTACCTACCACCTGGTGGTGACTGCCTTCACGGAGACCGGTCCCGGACCAGCAGCGTCACATACATTCACAACTCCCCCGTCAGGTGAGACCAGTGAAGCTCGCCGGTCCAGTACCTTTCTGTGCCCTGAAACTGTATGCTGAACAGCCTTCTCACTATCACGGTGTGACTCTCACAGGATGAATTTCCTGCATTAGAACATGTTAATTAAGTCCGTGCACTTAGAGCAATTTGCAGCAACTGTCGGGAGAGAGAGAGAGAGAGAGAGAGAGAGAGAGAGAGAGAGAGAGAGAGAGAGAGAGAGAGAGAGAGAGAGAGAGAGAGAGAGAGAGAACTAGTTCTAGGTCTTTCCACATCACCCGGAAAGTCCCTCAACTACAATATGGCAGACACGGAGAGCATGGGTATGCTGTTTTCCATTGAGTATGCAGGTTACAGGCGGTGTCTTTTTAAGTTGTAGAACTAACCGACTTGTACCATTGAAACTCGTCCAGCATGCCACACTCTGGGCTGCCTCCGTTGGACATCCAAACTCACTCTCCGAGTCTCGGCTATGTAGTATGCCGGTCCATCCAGGTGAGAAGCCCAGCAAAGTTGTGCACCCCTGCAAAGTTGTGCACCCCTGCAAGTGGCGTAGCAGAGGTTAATCCACAGCCAGCACTGCTGTAGTCATTCTCTGACATGACGACAGGCGGCTCAAGTTGTTGCCATGGGTATACTGTGGTAGCACTGCCTTCGTGATTTTCAGACTGCGACCTAGCATAGCTGCAGCTGTTGATGGCTTTTCAGGCTTTCCAGAATGTTGTCCAGGCGATACGCGAAACGAAGGTCTCAGGAAGGTCATTAGATAGATGGAAACGAATGCAGTGGTGTATTTATGCCCTCCGAACTCCTGGGGTTGAAGTTTAGATGTCTGACGTTAGTGGCCTGTGGGTGATCACCATAGCCGGTGCTATCACAGCAGCAGCAGCAGCAGCAGCAGCAGCAGGGTGCACATGCTGTAGTGACTTGGATGTACATGTGTGTTGTGTGTTGTGTGTGTTGTGTGTGCGTGTGCTGACCAGCTCCAACACCGCCGACCCCGATAACTGTGACCCAAAACGTGACCGCATTGGTTGCAGCATGGCCTGCAAGCAAGAACGGGGATGCACTCAAAGTGCCTATTTACTACCAGGTTAGTAGTGTCAACTGCTGGGTCTGAGTTTCCTTCACTGACTTCAGGTGTGTGTGTTCAGGTGTGTGTGCTGGGATGTTTGTACTTGTGTACGCTGCTCCTCGACTGTAGATTGTATTTTGGGCCTTTTTTTGGCCTGCTGCATCCCCTCTTCTGTGTGTGTGTGGGGGGGGGGGGGGGGTGCGTACGTGCGTGCTTGCGTGTATGCATGCGGTGCCGGCGTTGGTTTATGCAATCGATGTCCAAGGGGTTTAGGTGTGTGTGTGTGTGTGTGGGGGGGGGGGGGGGAGGATACTAGTAGATCGGATCCACCAGCCCGGCAGAGGCTTAAGGCCGGGATCACGTTTGCTGCATTCACGCTACCTTTGTAACAGGCCAGAAGCTTCGCACAGTTGGAAAACTTCACCCTCTTCCAAGCAGGACTTCATCCTGGTACCTGTCGTTTCTCCATCATAGTCTTAAAATCCACTGTGCCTGCCTGCACGTGTAGGCTAGGCTACATAGTGGTGGTCAATTCTTTTAACCTGGCAAGTCAGGACGAAACCAGATATATTTTCTATGATACGACAATGAGAAAAGCAAAGCAAAGGAAATTGTACAACTAACTCGAAAAACAAGCACCATGCAAAATGTCTCTTCAATATGCTCTTCCGCCACTGCATTTGTGGCTGTGGCGCGTGGTGGGTTAACCTGGCAAGCTGTTGGGCGATGCAACACAATTTACTGTGGCTTCTCCCGTAACATCACTATCATCGCCTGGACTCCAAAGTTGAAAGGTGTTTGTGTGTATGTGTGTGTGTGTGTGTGTGTGTGTGTGTGTGTGTGTGTGTGTGTGTGTGTGTGCGGGCGGGCGGGCGGGCGGGCGGGCGGGCGAGCGGGCGGGCATGCGTGTGTGTGTGCATGCGTGTCACTATGTGCTGTGTGCCGCCTTCACTGCACTTCCCTACAGGTGCTGCTGCAGTACTTATCCCGTAGTGGCGTGATACTGGCTGAGCAGAGTAAGATGGTGACCACTGCAAGTGCCACCTTCACCAACGTTAGGGATGATGTACTCTGCATTGTGCAGGTGAGCAGTATGAGTGAATAGGCCGGTGTGCCGGTTGGTGTGGTGACAGTGCCCTATCATGTACATGTACATGCTTGCATATTGGAGTGTTTACTCCGTGCTGGTGGGGTCTAGAGTGACTGGCGCAATCCATCTTGCTGAGCTGTTCCAGTGCAACTCTCTTCATTTTCTCTCTTTTTTTATTCAACTTGCTCCTCACCTAAAATGTGCTTGTGTGCTGCACGTTTCATCTGTGTCTACATTGTAGGTATCAGCTTGCGTTTCGTGGCCGCGAATGCAAAATAAGCACTCTTGCGGCCAATACATCAACTCTCAGACAATTTACCGTCCTACCGGAGGTAAGTGGCAAAGAGAACCCACCCTGTGCTGCTTTGTTAACCCTTTGCCGGTCTAACTCAATGTATGTGAGGGGTGGTCACGCAAATACATGTACACACAACCAGCAATAACTCAAGAACCATGTGATGTAGGTATGGGTAAACCATATATTTTCAAAATCTGTATGCCTGAACGCGACCAGAGAATTCAAATATGACTAGGTCCAGGCAAGGATAGGGCCCATGGTAGCCCTTCAAGTTGAGAGAAAATACAATTGCGAATGAAATACACGAATATCACAGCACGAAGGGCATACCAAGTTCGTGATGGAGCTGAAGTCGTACGATAAACAATCAGGTAAGGGCTACGTCTTTACAAGAAATGTAGGCTCTCTACTATACCGCCATTGAACACCAACACCTCGCCATCGGCGATACGCCAGCAGCAGCAATTCCCATTCCACGATATCGCAGTTTCGGTTTGTTCATCTCCGCGCTGCTCGCGTCAGATTCACTCTCGCTTAGATGAGTACTCAGCCGCGAGCTTACGCATGCCGTGATTCTCACGGCCAGGCGAATCAGCTGATCGCACCTGACGAGTCCTTGTGACAGTCGCTGTCGCGGTGTCGGCAGCAAGAAGGCTTCCTCTCTGTTTGGAGAGTTTTGTTTCTTCATTCGTGGACGGTATATTTTTGAACTAGCAGGACTCAACGGAGCTCTTTTTCTCAACACACTACACTGCAAAACCTCCCGGGACATCCAGCCTGGACTGGTGATGTTACTGTTCTCAGAACGCTTGTCAAACACGGCCCCAAGAGATGCACTCGCATTCTTGAAATGTGCGCATGGCGGATGGTCGTCTTTTCCAATTTCAACAAACTTCAGTCGATCGATACGGCAAAAATTTGTATGGTAAGCATGGTTGTTTTGCACATCGTCAGAAAGCCTTGGACCTCAGCTACGCGTAGAGCGCCATTTTAGCTGTCTCCTAGCAACAAGACCCCAAAAAAATGAGGGCCAAACGTACCGATACTATAGTATCGGTACGCTTATGGTAGACCGGTAAAGGGTTAAGGCTGCGTGGCATGGTCATTGACCTGCTGTCTACTGACGGCTAACGGGTTAAAGTACCTCTGACATCGTCTTAGATATTTCCTGTCTTCTCTTGTTGCGTGTATGATGTCTCTCACAGTACCGTCCACTGCCCCAGTGATTGACCATCATGAAGTCAGCTTCTCGGAGCTCTACATTAAGTGGAGCCCTATTCGACTCAACTCCTTCATCACCTCCAATGATGTGGTAGGTTGTTTACTGGAAAATGGCGTACTACAGTATGATTATAGCCTACGCTATTATGTGCAGGTTGGGTGCTGAGGTGCCTTGCTTGATTGTGCCCATTCTGCGTGTATGTACTTAGTGAGATTAGCAATACAGTAGTGTCACTGCTTGGTCACATTCACACTCTATTCCGCCTGACATCACACAGCATAGCACACAGCATAGCACACAGCATAGCACTCGTGTGCCAATAGACTTCTTTGCTCTTTTCAGTTTTCTTCACCGGGCACGAGCAGCTCAAAGCCATTTCCCAAATGTGCCAGAAAGAAGAACTTCTGGTCACAAAAAAATAGTATCAGCTAGTGCATTACGTTATTTTGTTGAGTTGTTGTTGTTGGTTGTGGAGGTGGTTTGATGGCAGACAATATATACTGCAGTCTCTGTTGTCTCATCCCTATTACGTTTTACGTCTCTGTTATGATAGCAATATGGCCCTCTTTTCCATGTACATCAGGGCCTTGTAGCACGTAGGCAGGCCACGGGGGTTAGTCAAGTGAAACATGGAACAATGTGAGTTTCACTTCCAGGCTGCCCGTTTCAGTCACCGCTGGGACTGAGGCGATCTGTGCACGCTTGCACATGGCATCGCTAGTCTGGACTGTGTGTGGGGTTGGCGGGTCAAGCCCGTGATCAGGTGTTGCACGGGCCGTGCATCGTGTAGAACTTTTACTGTGTTTGGGGTCGAAGCGTGCATTATCCTGAATAACACTGAGAAGAAGGACACACTTCACTATCTTGAATAATATGGCCCGCGATCTGCTAAAACCACCCTTCGGTGCTGTGTAATTTTTCGGAGAAAATGATGAAAACGTCAGCACGTCTCGATTTTCTCATCATCGCAGTTGACAGTCATGGCGGAAGGAGGACGAAGGCGCTCGTTCGCACAAATTGTTGTCGGATTCTCGGCAGCGGAGTCGTCAGCACTGCCAAATGACGATAGATCGTTCTTCGGGTGGTCAGATCAAGATTCTGACGACCAGAGCGATGACGAATCGACCGACGCCTCTCCGCTCGTGACCCTGCCGATCGCGCTTGCGATCGATGCGCAGGAGAATTTGGACGAGGCGCCAGCGCTACAGCCAGCACAAGCCCTCGCCGCCCTAGGGCAGGGCCAACCTAAGAAATCCCGTGGCCAGGCGGCGCCCAGTACTGTTGAAGAGGTACAGGCGCGAGTGGACAAAGGTTGCAGTTGTGCCGATGTCAACTGTTTCAAGAACGACACCGGATACTCTACTCACTGCACGCAACACAGCGCTCGCAATGACGAACGAGGAGCTGTACTGTTACGTCGCTGGAAAGCTCGATGTGTTTAGACGACGCGGTGCAGTTACTTCTCACCATGGAAGCATCGCACAACGGATGCAGCGCGGAGAAAGGTCCCGTCCACTTATCACTATGAAGTGGATGGTGACGAAGTGTGCCAGACTGTTTTCATGTACGCACATAATCATGGTAAAGGAGTGGAAGCTAAAACAAATTAAGGCGGATGTCTATGAGTATGAGCATGCTGTCGCTCCCCCTCAGCACGCACGTGAGGCTCGAGGGTACTTTGCCCTGGAATGCACTGCCTGCAACTATGGTGACATCAATGGACTTCCCCAGCCTGCTGCCCCAGGCCAGAGGCCCGCTCCAACTTACCTGCCATGTGCTACTACCAAGAAGCATGCGCATACTGAATATATCAAGGCTGGAGGAACAGTAGCATACACAACGTTCCTGAAAATATGGAGCAGCGAGTGCAGTGATGTGATAATTATGAGGCCAAAAGAAGATGTGTGCGGTGTATGTTCCGATCTGCAGTCTCAGATCGTAAGGGCAAGAACGGCAGAAACTCGCTTTTAAGCACACTGACGCACTCAAAGCTCATATTGATGAAGCTAACGTGGTCCGTGATTTTTATCAAAAGTGTATTACTGCCTGGCATCTGATCATCTGCCAGTGACGCTCGAGACGGCTGGAATCTCACGGAGTGTGCAAAGTACTTGCACCAACAGATTCGTCAGCACTGCCACGCAGAGAGCAGAGATACCACCTGCCCAGCACCAGACCAAGCAGAGCCAATGTCCTAATTATATGTTCGGAACATACATAGTAGAATACTGGATAACTGTGCAAAATAGTTTTTCTCTGTACATAGACAGGTGTATCCTAGACAGGTGTATGAAGCCTCAGATACGAATTATAAAGTTAGTGTGAATATCAATTATTTTCGGCATTTTTATGCACCAAAAGCTTGCATAAGATGGGTCATATTTCAATGAATATATACAATTTGAGCCTAATACTTCACCATATGTTCGGGCAATGGCCAGGGACCAACTTCCCGCCAAAAACTCATTTTCGGCAAAATAGCACCAAAGGGTGGTTTTAGCAGATCCTTGGCCATATGGTGTTATATCATGTCTGACTGTCTGTACATGCAACTGTTCACTGGTGTGCATTGCACTCTCTGTGTATACTGTGCGTGTATGTGTGTGTGTGTGTGTGTGTGTGTGTGTGTGTGTGTGTGTGTGTGTGTGTGTGTGTGTGTGTGTGTGTGCTTCGCGTGCATGTCCGCGTGTACGCTTGATTTGTCTACCGTTGTATCCATTCCCTCCTGCAGTTCTACAAAGTATCACTGACCGTGGGCACGAACAGTCCGCAGGCGCCCATTGTGGTGAATGACATTCAGCTGACCTTCCACGACCTGGCCGCCCACAGCAGTGTTGTGGTGACCATAGTGGCATGCACTACCTATGGTTGTGGTCCAGCGCAGACGTCAGCAGCCATCGTCATTGCAGCATCATACTGTAAGGGTTCAGTCCGGGCGTGGGACGTGCTATCTGCAACAATTGCCTTGACTCTCTGTTGCCTATTTCTGCTGTGTTCACCACGGGGTGCCTCCCACTTTTTGTTGATGCCTCACATCTTCCTTGTGGGCATTTTAATGATAGCTTGTGTGCTGTCCTGCCGGTAGGCGCCTATGTTATTGTAAAACATCAGTTTTGACAATATTCCTTAGTTTAGCCGGTGTTGAGAAAATCAGTCTTGATATGGTCAGTTTATGCCTATATAGACTGGAGTTGGCTTGATAGTGGAGCATTGGAAAAATAAAAGCACAGTCTCCAATAATAGCACAGTTTCTAATAGTAGCGCAGGTAAAGCTGTTCGGCACTGAATTAATAAGAACCCCGGGTTCTTAGTAGAGGAAATACGGCTTGATAATTAAAAGGGGAGGATAAAGCTGGTTTTTTGTTCGACGGGTCTCTTACAGGAGTAAGGTGATATGGTTGTTGAAAGCGAAAAAGGACTAAGAAACTTGACTTGAAGGTTCTGCGTCAAGCGTGAGGTAATATGCACTCAGTGCATGATTTCTACTTTACTTATGCCAAGGAAAACATGGATGCAGTGAATGGGATTTTCGGTCTTTGACCACTTGCTGGTGAGCTGATCTACTCACCTCCCACCGCTTTAGGAGCTGCATCTGCGCCTTGATCCTTGAAGGGTGGTGGCGTTCCTACGGATGCGGAAAACCCGGCTTCCAGCCGAGTCTCACGCGAACCGTGATTTTTTTATGCCAAGGAGAATGGCCTGAAAAATGGTCTATTTTAAACATTTTTTCAGGTAGTAGTGTTTTAATGTGGTCTTAACCCGTTGCGTGTGTCTATGTGTACGTATGTGTGCATATGTGTGTGTGTGTGTGTGTGTGTGTGTGTGTGTGTGTGTGTGTGTGTGTGTGTGTGCGTGCGTGCGTACGCGTTCGTGCGTTTGGTTACAGCTACAACACTCAATCTGAAAATTACCTTCAGCTCCAAGCCTCTGAATGCCGATACATTCCTCCAGGCGTTTGTGTCTGCCGTTCAGAACGTTACACAAGTGTAAGTGAGAGTGTTTTGTGCAACTGTCACACTGCATGAACGTATTGTGCGCCGTGTGTGTGTGTGTGTGTGTGTGTGTGTGTGTGTGTGTGTTTGTGCAACTTTTCACATTGCGTATTGCCTAGCAATGAGATGTCCCTGCCTTGGTTGAACAATGGGCCCGTTGCGCAATGGCGTACTAGTAATTTGTACCACGAACACCCCACTCAGTCAGCTGGGCATGGTTGTCTGGGGTGTTGAACCGTGCATTACTGATCCCAGTGTACTACTCACATGCATTACACGTGCTATCCATATTATTTTGGCAATGCACAATGGGCGTAATATATACGCCAGGCTGTTAGTCAATGCCATGGTTGTTCTGATACCCTCTGAAATGTAGAGTGGCGTGTAGCTACGCAGTGTTGTGTTTGGCTGATCTTGATAGTGTTGATGGCAGACCGTGTTTTAAACAGTGTTGTTTTGTATTTTCCCTGTGCTAAATCGTAGGAGTGCCTCCAGAATAATGAATCCCAGCACTAAGTACCTGCCGACCGTGTCCTTTGAGCTGCATAACGCAAGCAAGAGCACACGTGAGTGATGCGGCTTGCTGCCCAGATTTGGTTCAATGCCGCATACCGTAGTGTCGCGTATAAAAGCATGACCTGTATAGAAGCATGACTAGAATAGAAGCCGATTTTTTGAAGTGCGCCGTGACACAGAAGCACGATTTGAATAGAAGCCGCTCCCTGCAAAGTACATGTGCGAGTACATGCATGGCAGTATGCACTGCACAGTGTAGACTGATGATGTTGACATAGAAGCATGGTGTGAATACTTGTAGAAGAGTAACTTGAATAGAAGCATGGTTTGAATAGAAGCATGGTTTGAACCCCGGCTTATACGACTGCAAGCACCTGCTTTTATACGCGACATTACGGTACATGTTACATGCATGTGTATGATTCTCTGCATCGTGATGGCTCTTGGCAGTCTTGCTCTGTCGCAGTGCTTCAGAGCTTGTAAGCGCGGTTACCAAACTAGCTCGTAAGAAACAGTTCTTCGTTTTCAGCACTGCGTTTTGTGTGAGTGACTTGCGGCAAGTGCAATACGGAGTAACCTAGTCATGCAGCGTGCCTGTTCGTATTGTGCATGCACATGTTGTATCACAGCTGTGGCTGAGGAAAACACTATAGCAGCTGCCTTGCAGTTGTGTTTGCTATCTTGCCTTGTCTAATAAGTATGACATGATTACGGCATGTTGTGATTGCTATCTTGCCTTGTCTAATAACTTGAGTAATAAGTATGACATGATATGATTACGGCATGCATTGACTGCATGTGCTGACTGCATGTGTTGAAGTTCTGCCTCCTTTGGATCTCAAGTGCAATGCATGCAGCGGGTGACCTGTGTGTGCGGTGCATGCAAGCTAAGGTCAGGTGTCAGCATGCTGTACTTGCTGTACTTGCTGTACATGCTGTACTTGCTGTACTTGCTGTACTTGCTGTACATGCTGTACTTGCTGTACTTGCTGTACTTGCTGTACATGCTGTACTTGCTGTACATGCTGTCATCATTATGTGATTTGTTTTCAATCCTCCGCCATGGCAAATTGTGTTTTGTTCGCCCGTAAAAGAGGCTTTTACTACTAAAAAAAAAAAAAAAAAAACTTGCTGTACATGCTGTACTTGCTGTACTTGCTGTACTTGCTGTACTTGCTGTACTTGCTGTACTTGCTGTACATGCTGTACATGCTGTACTTGCTGTACATGCTGTACTTGCTGTACTTGCTGTACATGCTGTACTTGCTGTACTTGCTGTACATGCTGTACTTGCTGTACTTGCTGTACATGCTGTACTTGCTGTACTTGCTGTACTTGCTGTACATGCTGTACTTGCTGTACTTGCTGTACATGCTGTACTTGCTGTACTTGCTGTACTTGCTGTACTTGCTGTACTTGCTGTACTTGCTGTACTTGCTGTACTTGCTGTACTTGCTGTACTTGCTGTACTTGCTGTACTTGCTGTACTTGCTGTACATGCTGTACTTGCTGTACTTGCTGTACTTGCTGTACATGCTGTACTTGCTGTACATGCTGTACTTGCTGTACTTGCTGTACATGCTGTACTTGCTGTACTTGCTGTACTTGCTGTACATGCTGTACTTGCTGTACTTGCTGTACATGCTGTACTTGCTGTACTTGCTGTACTTGCTGTACATGCTGTACTTGCTGTACATGCTGTACTTGCTGTACTTGCTGTACTTGCTGTACATGCTGTACTTGCTGTACTTGCTGTACTTGCTGTACATGCTGTACTTGCTGTACATGCTGTACTTGCTGTACTTGCTGTACATGCTGTACTTGCTGTACTTGCTGTACTTGCTGTACATGCTGTACTTGCTGTACTTGCTGTACATGCTGTACTTGCTGTACTTGCTGTACTTGCTGTACTTGCTGTACATGCTGTACTTGCTGTACTTGCTGTACTTGCTGTACATGCTGTACTTGCTGTACTTGCTGTACTTGCTGTACATGCTGTACTTGCTGTACATGCTGTACTTGCTGTACTTGCTGTACTTGCTGTACTTGCTGTACTTGCTGTACTTGCTGTACTTGCTGTACATGCTGTACTTGCTGTACTTGCTGTACTTGCTGTACTTGCTGTACATGCTGTACTTGCTGTACTTGCTGTACTTGCTGTACATGCTGTACTTGCTGTACATGCTGTACTTGCTGTACTTGCTGTACATGCTGTACTTGCTGTACATGCTGTACATGCTGTACATGCTGTACATGCTGTACTTGCTGTACTTGCTGTACTTGCTGTACATGCTGTACTTGCTGTACTTGCTGTACTTGCTGTACTTGCTGTACTTGCTGTACTTGCTGTACTTGCTGTACTTGCTGTACTTGCTGTACTTGCTGTACTTGCTGTACTTGCTGTACTTGCTGTACTTGCTGTACATGCTGTACTTGCTGTACATGCTGTACATGCTGTACTTGCTGTACTTGCTGTACTTGCTGTACTTGCTGTACTTGCTGTACATGCTGTACATGCTGTACATGCTGTACTTGCTGTACTTGCTGTACTTGCTGTACTTGCTGTACTTGCTGTACTTGCTGTACATGCTGTACATGCTGTACATGCTGTACTTGCTGTACTTGCTGTACTTGCTGTACATGCTGTACTTGCTGTACTTGCTGTACTTGCTGTACTTGCTGTACTTGCTGTACATGCTGTACATGCTGTACTTGCTGTACATGCTGTACTTGCTGTACATGCTGTACTTGCTGTACATGCTGTACTTGCTGTACTTGCTGTACATGCTGTACTTGCTGTACTTGCTGTACTTGCTGTACTTGCTGTACTTGCTGTACATGCTGTACGGTAGCACAGTAGTACAGTTAGTTACACTTACAACTAACATGCTATTGCGTGGTGCTTGTACTCTTTGTGTTCTGGATGTCTGAATCTGCAGAGGGTCCCAAGAACCATGCTGTTATTTGCATGCTTATTCAAGCTGTGAACACTGGATTTGTTGTCAGCGGCATCAAGGCAATACCAGAGTCATTCAGGTGAGCCGCTACATCCGATGCATTAGTTTGAACTTTTCAACTTATGCACATGTACACGGTTGGTTGGCTTTGATTAATTTAAAACAAGACGTACAGTCTTGACTAGACAACAGAACACACAGGATCCCCAATTCCTATCCTTTGTCCTAAGTGCGTTGTACGGGAAGCTTCTATACATGTACTGCACTGTATGTGTGCATGTACTTCCTTTAGCCCAGCCTAAGACAGAAGTTGATCCATTTTTAACCCTTTGTGGACGGACTGTACGAGTTTCGATCTAATAAGATCGAAACTTCGTAACTCCATCGTTTCTTGAGCAAATTCCACAATCGAAGGGTCTACGTGGTAGCGGGAACTCCAAGCTGTCCAATGCAACAATCGCTGAAGACTTACAATGTCGGACACCAGAGATATCGCACGCCGTATTCTTACCTCGGCAAATTCAAATTTTTGATCGATCATTTCGCCATTTTGGGGGAAAATCCCTTTTCGTGTGCTCTTTGAGCGACTGAGCACATGATAATGACGTAGCCGGCTGAAGTTTGAATCGTCTCAAACAGATTTGAGCGTTCTGCGATGAAGGAGAGTGGAATGGCGTTGATGGGACGAATTTGCTTGCATATCAGGCTTGGAGACGACTTTGCTGTGTTACCGCGCCTGATTTGTGGCGGCCGGATAATGGAGATTGGTACCCTGACGTAGCTCTCGCCAAGAGCTTTCCAATGAGCACTTGATTGTGAAAATCAAGTGAAGGACACCAAAGTTATGACATGGACAAGTTGAAAATTGTACTGACATTTTGTAATTCTGGTGCATACTGTGCTATTAACGCATGCTCCGTACGCGGAGGCATACACGACCCACACACAGACACAGCAGTAGTTGGTTGGCACCACAGGGTAACTGGGCGAAGGAGCTGGCAGTGTGTAACCATGGAGGCGGCCGACCCGACAGAGGCGGGGACCGAGAGTGAGACCGAAATGGCGGCTGACCTGCCAAGGGCAGTAACCGAATAGAGTGATTCGGGAGAGTAGAGAGAATGCTGCCAGCTACTGAGAGTTCAGTGCCCAAGCTAGTTACCCTGGTGGGCCAACCAAATAAGTCAGTGCTCAGAAATAACGCGAGCATTGAACGAGGAGTATAGCAGGAGCTGCTAGCAGTCGAGAAATCTAGGTACCGATAGCGGTACTGAGAGTTGGTATGTATACCGGAGGAGACATTCGTCAAGGTGCAGCGCTACTGGTCAGTCACTCACTGTGGCCAGCTTCTCTGATACTAGCCGCACCTCGGATGGCTCAACACGGATATAGCGCAGCACGGCGTCGCTGCGCCATCGCCCCATATGGCGGATCACGTGCTCTGGTACGCCTGCGATAGCTGCAGACGTGGCTGCTCCGATCCGGAATGAGTGGCTGGCATAGCTGGACGGATCTGTAATCCCACAAAGCGGTAGGAGGGTCCGCACCTCCCTCGTGACGTCCGCTCGTGTCAGAGGCTGGCCATTGTGGTAGACGAGCAGCTGATCTCTAGGAGATTGGGACTCCGCTGACACTGCCGTCAGGTACCGCACCATCGCTGTAACAGGGCAGCTGATGACATCGGTACAGCCGCCCACGTGGACTACCGTGCCCCTACCGTCCGGGTCCGTCTTTGATTGCAGCAGCGTGATGGTGATACGAAACGATTGTTGGTCCAGGGCCACGTTGCCAAACGTCAACGAGGTGAGCTCACCACAGCGCAGGAAGCCATAAAAGGCCAGGGTGAAGGCGCACTGCAGCATTGCCTGGTCAACTGGGTGCCGCATGGAGGAAACTTGGAGGCGTTGGCAGAGTTGCCGGAGGATGGGTGTTGTGATAGGCAAACGAGGGCGGCCAGGTCCCGACGAACGGGCTATGCCTCTTAACACTCGTGACAGCAGGGACGTCGGCTGATTCGGGTACTCGAGGCCTATTTCGACGTGTAAGTTCCGGATGGCTGACATATATGTGCGAACCGAGGCCGGCCGCAGTGTGCGCATGAGGAGGGCTGCGTAGTAGCACAGCGTAACGTCGCTTCCAGGCAGGGCCACGACGCCATGCTGCTGACAGAAATCCAGGTACCGCCGCTCTGAAGCTGAGTATGTCCTCCTGGATGACGGTGCTATTGCCAGGGACGCCAGCCTGGCCACGTCTTCGGCCAGTCCGGTGTGGGCAAGATCGGCATGTCCGGATGGAGCTGTGCCGTGGGTGCCAGGCAGCGGAATTCCTGCAACAGATTCCGGGAAAGAGCATCGGCAATGGTATTAGTAACACCAGGGATGTGCACTGCTGAAATCAGGCAATCGTGAGCAACGCAAAGGTGATACAGACACCTAACTAGAGACATCATGGGTGGCGATCTGCTGGTGCCGGATTTGATGCAGTCTACAACAGCTGAGTTGTCGCACTGAAACTCAATACGGAGGGACTTCCACTCCGACGCCCATGTACTGGTTGCGATGACAATAGCGTACAGTTCTTTATACTGTATGGACTCTGAATGCTGGTGGGGCAACCATGCTCCACGGATCCATCGTCCCTGGAAGTACGCTCCATAGCCCTGGTTACCGCTGGCATCAGTCTGCAATTGCAAGTTGGGCGCCTTTGTCCATTTGTCCAGGAGGAAGAACGACTTCCCTGGCCAGACTGATAGGGTACGCTGCCACCATTTGAGGTCGTTCACTGCTCCGGCTGACAGGGTGAGAACCTTGTGCTTTGGAAGGTTGCTTGTTGCACGGTCAAGGTCGTACAGGCGCCTCAGGAAGGTACGACCGGCAGGAATAGCCCGGGCCGCGAACGAGAGATTGCCCAACACGGAGGCGAGTTCGCGCCGGGACGCCATGCCTGATTGAAGGAGGCCGTTGACTTTGCCGAGATACGCCCCATGTTTGGCGGACGGTAGCCGGATCTCAAACGTCAGCGAATCCAGCTCCAGGCCGAGGAAGGTGAGACATGTGGATGGGCCTTCGACTTTCTCAGAGGCCACCGGTATCTGCAAATAGCGGAGCATGTCTAAGATAAGTGAGCGATGATGTTCCGCAACGGGCAGGTGGGGCGGACTAACGTTCAGAAAGTCGTCCAGGTAGTGGAGTAATTGGCTTAGGTGGCATGCATCCTCGAGAATAAACTGGACTGCTGTGGCGAATTTATCGAATATGTATGCAGGGTGTATTCTAGGACGAATTTCCAACCGGTTACGGTCCAATGAAGAGGGGGGGGGGGGGGGGGGCGGGGGGTCCGGGGGTCCCCCGCGGAAAATGTTTTCAAAATACAACCCAAATATGGCACTCGACAGCAATTTAACAGATTTCTTGGTGCTGGAGTACAAACTCGTCACCCTAGTACCAGCCCACGCGGCTTCGCTGGAAGTATCCGTCCAGAAAAAAGCGTTTGACCATTCACAGCTCCATTCACCCACAGAAAGGTACGGGCGGTTGGAACTGATTTGTAACCTTTCAACCGGTCGCCAACAATTTCAACCGGTCGAAAACCGGTTGGGGCGGTTCTAGAAAATTCCCTGGTATGGTGCAGAACGCAATCCAAATGGTAGCACTTTGTCATGATAGAATTGTCCCTGCCAGAAGATGCCTAGATAGGGCCAGTCACAGGGGGCAACAGGACAGAGACGGAATGCATTCCTGATGTCGACCTTCGTCAAAAGAGCGCCACGCCCTGCCTGCATAATCAGAGAGATAGCTGTATCGACAGTTTCGTACTGCAGGCTGAATTCATCCCGAGATATACCGTCATTCACACTCAAGCCGGCAGGGGACGAGAGGTCGTGGATGATACGCAGTTTGCCATTAGACTTCGGGATAGCACCCAAACCAGAAATATGCATGTGAGGGAATGGCGGAGATGCAAATGGGCCCGCAGTTTCTCCGCGGTCACAACAGGTAAGCAGATGAGTAGTAACCTCAGCAGGGCAAGCACAAGCCGAAGGGTGATTAGGAGACATAACAGAAGATGCAATGGGGCGAGAGCTGCCAATACGAAAGCCATACTGCATGCCTTGTGAAACATAAGAGCGAAATACTGCATTTGGATGAGGAGAGAGAAGATTGATAAAGCGCCGAACATGAACAGGCGTGCTAGTGGGCACCTGTAAAGCAGCGTCACCACTGGGGTGAGAGTTATTTCTTGGTCGAGTCACCAGACTTGGAGCATTGGCGTGCGGGGTGACGGCCGCGGCACTGCATGCAGACGTGTGCTCTGGAGCAGGGGGAGAGCAAGCAGCTGCCGAAGTTGAAATTACGACAGATGGCTTTGCCGTCAAAGCGAGGCTGGTGTGAGGACTGGCTCCCAGTAGGCGCTGTTGGGGCTGGGAGCCCCCCACGAAAGGGGCAGCTGCTGGGCTGACTTGGATGGACCATGGAGCAACGCTGGCACGGAGGCCGCCCACGGCCCGTGAGACAAGACTGCCACAGGTTCGGGTCAATGACGGACCAGGAATAGCGGTGAGGGAGGGACGCCTTGGCCATACGGAATTTGCGGTCGTAGGACAGCCAGGCATCATTGTGGAACCGGACGTTGGCATCGACAATGATGGCCTGATACGCCCAGAGATCACCTGCCAGCTGTGGTGAGGCGTCGGCCAGCACCCTCGAGTAGGTGGTGAACGCTTCCACCCATGTGGCAAGATCATAGATGTGTCGTTTGGCGGGTTGCCGGTGGGAAGATTTGGGGACGAGCTGCACAGATCGGCCCGCGCCCACGTCGAGTTGCATCACATCATGATCCCCCTCGAAACCCAGGGATTCAGGCAGCAAATCACTCAATTCTGTGAACTCACCTCGCACAATCCGGTCTCGAAGGCGAGGCGGCACCACGGGGAGATCTCCAGATGACGGCCACTGTTGTGGCGGGTGGCTGGCAGCCGGTACTGATGCTGGTAAAACCGGCGCTGCAGTGGCGATTGATCCGGCAGCACAAAGCGAGGCCCCGCTGAACGTCGGAACATGAGCGAGTCCCGAGTTGACGCCAGTTCCTGGGCCGGCGAGTTGGGCCGCGCCAGCCTGCTCCAGCAGGGTAACCTTGTCGGCCAGAGGCTGAATAGCAACAGCCACGGCGGCGGAGATCTGGCTCGCCAGCGTGGGCTGGGGTGGTTGGCCGGCCGGCATTGACTGAGACGGAGGCACTTGGCCAGGTAGAGCCGGAGCACGAGGAGCACGAGGCGGCGCGGGGTTCTGGGCCGGGGCTCCGGCCTGGGTGGTTCCAGGAGCAGAGGAGGATGTTGCTCTAGCGTAGGGGCTAGAAGATGACCTGGCGGACCTGCGCGACATCTCTTGCCTCAGCGTGGGAAAATTTGAGTAAACCAGTCCGCGGATACAGCACTCAGAATTCCAGCCCGCCCAGGGACTGGACACCACAACTAGGCAACAAGAGACCGAAACGACGATGTCACCTTGTACAAGGAAGTCTGAACAGAACTGAAGAACTCCGGAGTTTGAAAACACGGAGCAAGAGTCATGCGAGCCAATGCAACTAACCGGCTTGGAGACGACTCTGCTGTGTTACCGCGCCTGATTTGTGGCGGCCGGATAATGGAGATTGGTACCCTGATGTAGCTCTCGCCAAGAGCTTTCCAATGAGCCCTTGATTGTGAAAATCAAGTGAAGGACACCAAAGTTATGACATGGACAAGTTGAAAATTGTACTGACATTTTGTAATTCTGGTGCATACTGTGCTAGTAATCCGTCCATAAAGGGTTAAGAATTCAGTATTTTTACACATACTGGGCTTTTTAAAAAACAGTACAAGAGAGTGAAACCGTGACCCTATAAGCTGGGATAGGTGTAGGACCGTGTAGACAACCTGGGGGGGGGGGGGGGGGGGGGGAGAGAGGATGTAGCTTGTCCAGGCTTTCTGTCATAGGAAATTTTTTTTTAAATGAGAAGCTGATTGCATTGTACTACTGTGTGTCATATGTTTTTACATCAGGCTACCTCACATTCCCAATCCGACATGCACACCGTCGTTGATTGTGACGACTCCACCATCCAAAGCACCTTCAAGCGCCGGCACAGCACCATTCAAGTCCAACTCAAGCCCCAGCTCAAAGTCGCTGACACCGATCATCGTCGGTGCAGTGTGCGGCATTGTCCTGGTTCTCATTGTTGTCATTCTCATCTTGGTTGCACGGTCACGGCGCCTGTCACGCAACCTTGCTGCATACCGCAGTCATCAGAACCGCGAGCAAGCTGCAGATGTCCGTTTCCGTGCCGATGAAGATGAGAATTTTTCCATCAATGTCGGTAGGTCCCTCAAGTGTTGATATTGCTATTATTACTACAGGTGCTTGCGGCTTTCAATGCATTATTTCAGGTTGCGGTTATTTCAGCATGAAATCAACCATGCCTTGCGGAGTAATCCGGTCAATGTCAAAGAATGTGGCTCCTGCCCAAGTCGAAAAATAAAAAATAAAACGGCCCGATCGATTTTGTTCGAACTTGCAAAGCACTCCTACTAAGCTATTGCCAGTCCTGAAACATGGGCAAGATTGAAGCACTACTTCACAGTTAGAAGCTGGCTTGAAGGAGGACGAGAGGGTGCTGCCCGTGCATACATGGATGCTACTGTTGCGGACATTGAAATCCGTTCAGAAGTCAAGCGGCCTCAGGGCGCTGGCGTTGCAGCCGTGAGCACTGCTGGTCCATTTTTGCAGTGCTACAGTGCGTGTATGCGCTAAGCAAGTAAGGGCGCCGGCGGCCCCGGTCATTTCACCGGATTTCAATGTCCTCAACAGTAGTACAATGTCATGTACTGCGCTGTGTTACAGTAGTACAATGTCATGTACTGCACTGTGTTACTGTTTATATGTATACTCAGTGCCGTCAGTCTTGATCCTTGACATGATACCTGCCTACCCGTACTCCCCCTTACCCGACTGTCTGCGTGCTGCCGTTCTTGTTCAGGTGATGATGACGATGGCAAGGGTCACCGCAGCTTGATGTTCCGTGTTGATGACGACGATGAAAGGCTACTCAATCCGAATGAAGATTGAGGCTGGTGAATTTGAGACATGACATGTTATTTTCTTTTACCTCTGCTCCCTCTTCTACCATTTGCTTTGCCAATCAGTTTCATCCTGGTGATGAGAGACTCAGTATGTATGTACAGGTATTGTCAGTCTGCAGCGATCTGCAGCAAGCATCAATGATGTGCTGATTTTTACTGCTATGTATTTGTTACGACGTGTGTTGTTTTCTCTCATGAATCATGACCTATAACTGACTTTGTATGAATGACTCAGCCAGCATTACACATACATGTCAGTGCAGATTACATGTACTTACTTACTTGACCAGACTTGGGCTCATAGCCGGATTTAGACGACTTAGAGTAACCCACACCGGATAGTCTCCCCTCAATGTCAGCATGCAAGCAGCATTCTCATTCGATTTCGCTGATTTATTCGCAATGCGTTGCAGTCTGTGTTCGTTTGTATTCCCCTTGGGCAGCGCTACCTTCCTCTCTGCCTATACTGTATGGCCGGTGTTCATGAGTCGTCCATAACACTCTGTTGAACCCTGTATGCAATGTAAGTCTGCATTGTCACGGTCTGGGGCGTTGAGCAATGAGGTCACTATCCATCTGGATAGCACCAAGAGTAGAACAACATGTTTATCTACTCTTGGTCGCACCACCGAGAATAAATCAATACCGACAGGGAGTATTATTACTACTCCCTGCCGGTAGGTAGGCTCGAGTCTCTTTATAACAAACCCAGCAAAGAGTCTCGCACGAATGAGGCAACCAGTATACAGGAATTGGAATTCCGGAACTAGGAGTAGTAAAAAATGTGGAGAGTCACCATGGTAACCACTCCCTGATCAAAACCTACAAACATTAGAGGACATCTGCCGTATAACAGATCCGCAGAGGCGTAGCGAAAGTAAACCTTAAAAGAAGAGAACACTAAGGTAAAAGGATGCCGACGGCCACCAATTGAAAGATAAATTAAACAGAGCGTGGCATCAGGGTGTGTTAGCTACAGCACCCTGGGGGTAGGTAGATACACAGCCATTCTGATACACAACCATTCTGATACACAGCCATTCTGCAAACTTCTAGACTAAGACAGAAGATGGAGAAAAGCGACGAAAACTAAACAATAAGAAAAATCCGTGCAATTCTTTATGGTGCTACCCTGAGTGGCCATTTAAAAATAAAACTGCCAGCTACACCTCTGATGAGGAGCACTAATCGAATAGCTTATACGCGTGTCCATGTAGGCGTGGGGGAAATAAAGGAGCTCCGGAGCTTGGCCAGTCTGTCAACAGAACAATTGCCTATAAACAGTAAGGGATTAGATTAGCAGCAGCAGCAGCAGCAATAGCAGCAATGGCAGCAATAGCAGCAGCAGCAGCAGAGGGGCATAGTTCACTGCTCTACTCTACAAGGCAAGGCAGTTGCAATTAGCACTATGGTAGGGGGTAGGGAAAGACAGACAGCCGTGTGTTCATGGGATAGTATGATAGGCAGCGCGGCTGGTAGCAATGTTGAGTAGCAGGAGAAGATGAAAATTGATATAAAAATTCTATGAAGGTTTTTCTAGGTCGAAGTCTGAAGCGGAAGGGCAGAGGAATGAAGCTATGGAGTGACAGAGGACGAACAGCTATCCTTGGCTAATTGGTTTTGGCTGGGATCCGCTAAGGCCTGAAGGGAGCCATCACTGTGCATTGGCAACACAAGACCAACACAAAACCAACACACAAACACACACACACACACACACACACATTTTTTCTTTCCTTTTGACGCCCATGGCCGGAGGCGATGATAGCGGTGCTACAGCGGAAGCCATAGCAACTTGTGCTGGGATTGCACCATTGAACAGCTTGCAAGGCTGAAGAATTGACCCCCCCCCCCCACACACACATCAAATGAAGGGAAACAACATCGGCAGCGGCAGTGGGCCTTGAATGGAAGAGAAAAAGTACAAGGCAGGGCATATGTTGCAACACCCGGGTCTGAGCCTGACTCATGTATGTCAAACCTGGTGCACGCAAAGTCAGTATTCTTAGTTCCTCACCTTTCTTGAATGAACATTTCATCACCGTCACTAGGGTGCACAAAGATCAAAGAAAGACACACAATCAGAGGACAAATGATTCAGGATCTGCCAGAGATGTTCAGCTATCCCCTCCCCTCCCCTCCCCCCCCCCCCCCTCCCCTCCGTGCAGCCAAAGTGAGACAGCCTCCTAGTGCACTATCAACCCGAGACCTTCAGTCCATTCATCGGAAACTGGAACATTAACTTGTCTAAATGTACATCGTGTACCACGTCTGCACGACACATGTAGCCAGCCAGTATTTAGCCGGTATAAATAGTATTAGATACATGTAGTAGTGAAATAAATACTAGTTTCCCTAGTGAAATAAATACTAGTTTTCCCACTTATTTGCGGTTGCTGGATGGTTGTAGTCCCAAGAAATTCCAACCGACGAGAACTAGTTTTTTTCTATGGAGCACCTACCTGATGAGTTTGAGGTACACCGGCTCATTGTCACCATCTAGTTGGGGGGAATCGCACTCGAGAGCTCCGTTAGTGGAGACGTCATCATCCTCACTGATAGTATTGTTCCTGGGCTCCTCGCCCATCAGCCTGCACAGCGGTCAAGTACAAATACAATGGCGAGTTTGTCAGCGAAATCACTCTACATCATTGAAATAGACACTCCTGGACTCCGCTGCCCATTCACAACACAACAGGACCCATGTTTTTTTCTCCCAATCTTCTCCATTTCCTGCCTGTGAGACAGAAATGCATTGGACAAAACTTACAAGTGTAACATCCTATATTTGTCATTTCATTCCCCAAACCGCCATAGTTATTACATTGCACATTGTACATTGTACTAAAAGAAGATCAATATCTTCATACAGCATACTGACCTAGCGACTTCTGATAGGTCGATGTAGGACGCAAGCGATGCCTTTGTGGTATTCCGCTCCAGTGTCCGTTGGTTATCAAAGTCATCATCAACTGACAGTGAGCCAGAGTGATATGAGGAATTTCTTGCATCTGCATATGGACTAGACCTATGGAACAGACAGAGGGTGAGAACAGTAAGACTATTGATCATGCCGACATCAGAAAGAATTTTCCACGAAGGCAACATGGCGTGTGAAAGAAATAACTGCTGTATGGTATGCATGCGCTTACACGATGAACTGATGATCACGAACAATACACGGGCATGCACGTTTACAGTATAACGGTACACATGTAGCAGTGCCAGCACACACACATGCCCAGATACACATGTAGCAGTGCCAGCACACACACAGTGCCAGCACACACACAGTGCCAGCACACACACAAGACCAGAGAGTGAATGAAATCTTCACGTTTTGCTGCCATACCCTGGGCATGTGTGCACTACTCGCTAGGATTAGTTTTAGCTCCGCAGCATTTGTACGTAAACATCCAGGGTGGCATGTCAGTTGCCACCACCGTGCTATGGTGTACTATCATCTTGTTATCAGTGCTTACATTCCACTCAGTGCTCGTCTGGACACATAGGAGTCTTCATTGTCAAGTGACTCGTCAGAGGGGCACTCCTGCACCTCGTCCACCATGGCCTGCTGTTGTAACTGCAGCGCTGTTCGGGCCACTGCCCTGAACCTGTGCTTCCCGCCTCCAGTTGATGCAGCACGTGGAGGAGGCATCGGTGGTCGCTTGGGAGGATCAGATATCTTAGGTGATAAGTGCTCATTGGATACTGCAGAGCAGAAAGAACCAAGTAGAGCAGATAGCGGTATACAAAAATGGAGAGTGGATGTCAGAGTGGATGTCAGTAGATGATGGGCACATTCAGTTCACAGGCGGAAAGACAGAAAATAATCGAGAACACTTAAAAAATTGATGTGAAAAAGAGAAGAAACACATGAGAACGAGTTATGCAGCAACTATCCACGACTATAACAAGATGATAAACGGTCAGAAAGTGCGATAATATGGCACAAAACTGACAGGCTACTGAGACATTCAGCGACCCGAGACCTAGCTCTAACACATCTCCAATGCGCAAGGGAAGGTTCCCCCTCCCTTTATCTCTGATATTGCTGACCCACCCAAGTTGGGTGGTGTGTTGTTTTGCTGCTTCGAATTGTAGTCAGACCACGTTGTCATGATTGTTATTAACTGGTCTCGTCATCGTCCTGTAACAGTCGGCATTCTTTGTTGCCGCGGGACTTAGCTTGTGCACATTTTCGCTGCGCTCACCTTCCCCTCTTCGGTCCTACGTAACCATGAACCTTCCAAGTTGGAAGGCTGTTGGTTTGTTCACTGGAGATGTGTTAGATCTAGGTATCGGGTCGCTGAATGTCTCAGTAGCCTGTCAGTTTTGTGCCATATTATCGCACTTTCTGACCGTTTATCATCTTGTTACAGTCGTGGATAGTTGCTGCATAACTCGTTCTCATGTGTTTCTTCTCTTTTTTACATTCATTTTATTACTGGCTCAGTATCCGACTTAAAAAAAAACATGGGAAATGTTGACTGGCATCACCTGGTCCTGAACCGGTAAACACAGATGAGGTAGATGAAAAGAAGGGCTGCATCAAGATGCCAGGGGAAGTTATGCATAAACACGAAATGGAACATGAATGGAGCACATCACATCATGCCTGCGCAGCATGGAGACCATCAGCCTGTCATCCATGCACACGCAAACAGTTACTGAGAATGGTAACTTCATCCATGCACACGCAAACAGCTGATGAGAACAGAAACTTACCTTCATAGTTGAAGTGCCTGCATACGTGACACAGGGAAACACAGGGAAAGCAAAGACAGCAACACATGCACAACATTAGTCAACATGGGTACTGGTGGTCCTAGTCAAAACGCCCCATACGCATCCATAGTCTGTATCGCAAGCACCTACGACAGTCACCTGGCGTGTCAGTACTGGCTGTTGAAGGGCGCAATTCTGGCCTACAATGCTACACTCATGTACGCTCATTATGATCTCTCTTATCCAGGCAGTACACACCAACAGCACATTGTTCATGTGCCACCTTGGTTACCATGTACTAGTACACCATGTTAATATACTTGAAGTAGCACATCACACATCACACATTACACTAGTGAACCGCTGCTTAGCAGGGTTGAATGAAAACTCAACTACATCTTACCCTGGTGGTGTTCCATGCTGTCAGCAGCAGACACAGGGCACAGGGAGAGAGACATAGGCCATGCAACAATGTCCACGTTGTACAGAGCACACAC